TACTTCTTTGATCTCATTTCGTCTTCTTATGGCTTCTGCTAAGATCACTCTCTTCATGAGAATAAGGATTGGGGTGTCTTTCACGTTATCTCTTTGCTGAAGTTCATGAGCAACGCAGATTTCATCCATCCAAGTTTCAGGCATATATTTCGGGGTTCTGAAATTTAAGAGGGAATGTGCAAGTTGTACAATCTTATCACAATCGTTTCCTGCTCTTTTTTCGAGATCCTTTTGATTTGTACTTCATGCTTCAAGGAGGACCTTGGGTGTTTAATGGTAGCTTGATTATTCTGGAAAAATGACAGCCTTCCATTCTGATACATGAAGTCGTTTTTTCTCTTGTTCCTTTATATGGATTCATTTATGTGGCCTGCCAATTTAGTTTTATACTGAATATTATGCTTCTCCGATTGTTAACTCCTTGGGTTCATTTCTCTCTGATGAAGCCAGTTATATAAATTCTTCAGGGATGCGTTTTCGTGCTATGATCAATATTGCTTAACCATTGAAGCTTCAGGGAGTGTTATCTTTGTTGGATGGGCCAGAGTTTGCGTTCAATATTTATTATGAAAGAATTTGCAGAGTTTACTTTAATTGTCATAGGATTGGTCACGTTCACAAACATTGTCTCAATCCATTTTCTTCTCTTTACATTTCTTTCGCAGGTTCCTGGTTTCTAAAGCATCTTCATGGGGAGTCTGATCGAGTTTATTTTGATTGGTTAAATTTTTCATATCTAGCTTATTCTAATTGGAGATCTCTTCTTCTACGGAATATGGATGGTCCAATGAACTTTTAGTCTTTCTCTGATTCTTCTGTTCACTCAGCTAATTGGTGGTCTACTTCATGGGTACTGAGAATTGAAGATCTGGAAGACTTCTTCCATTCTGCTAGGATAGATGTCACTTTGCATTGGACTTGCAGGAAACCATCAGATCTTTCGGACGGTTCTGATGATCTCTTGCTTAAACGGACCAAATTTGAGTATGACCTCAATCTTGCGTCGCCTGATCAGAGTGTTTTCAAGGAATTTAGACAGGTATCTTTTTACAAAGATGATAGCATTGTTTTATTAACACCTGGTTATTCTTTCTGCTGCCATGTTTCCGGTTCTCCGGACTCCATTTCATCATTTCTTACGTTACTATCTGCAATTCTGCATCTTCCTGTTTTACTTCCAACACTGCTGTTTTAAATCACTTCATTCCTTTAGCTGTTTCTTCCTATTTCTAACCGAGAAAATCACTTTGTACTTTCCCAACTGCAAACAAGAAGTCTCGTTTTGTTCAGCTTACCGAGCAAGTTTTGGTTCCACTTGCTCATGAGTGGAGAAGGCACGAGCACGAAGTCTTCTGGGTCGGAGTTTCGTGTGGAGGCTTGGATATTAACATCGAGCACAATACGTATCTACGCAGGTTTCGCGTGCACATTCATGGTCATGGTCGGTTACGAGTGGGCTCTCATCGATGGCTTGAGCCTAGATTCACATGGGTAAGATGGTTTTATAGCATTCCAAGGAGCTATGGTTTCTTTGATATCAACTGGGAAGCTAAAGGCAAACAGTATTTTCCACTGATTGAGCATTATGAAGATGGGTTTCGCAATCTACTGCCATACCTCCTTGCCAAGTTTCCACGTAACGTGAGGGAGCCACTAGTGATTCATAACTTATGGCATTAGGGTTATATCCATCTCATGCCTGCGATGGGCCAAATGTTTTATGATTTGATGCATATTACGGATTTGGATTGAGGACACCCGAATACTAGTCACCTGAATCAAATTGGTTTTATCCCTTACACTTGTCATCATCACAATGCAGCTTCTACTACTTCAGTTTTGTCATCAAATAACTCAGCCTTCGCTGATCTTGGGTTCGTTTCGGCTGGATCTTGGTCCGCAACAACATCATCTGCTACTCTGCTTCGGAAATGCAAGCTTGCTCTGTTTTTAAGTCATCGAACAGAGCCATCTTCAGCAACTAGGTTCTACGGGGATTTTGCCAAAAAGCCCCATCTTAGTGGATGATAAGGTGGGGGACCTTCATGTGTTGCAGCAAGATGGAGGTCCAACATCTTCTGCCGCAGCTTTTTGGGCTTTTGCATTGCCGGTTTCTTTGTGTCTGGCTTTTTAGTTCGTGTTCTTTATGCTTACTTTGTTTCCGGCATTGCTATTCCTGTAAGACCTGTCCTTACTTTATTTTCAACATGCAGATATTTCAAAAAAGAAAAAATTACTTATGGATGGTGTGCAAGCTTTAAACTACAACATCTGCATGTATGCACTTATTGTAAGGAGGGTCAGTGTTCTTCTATTCTATTTGTTTATGTCGTCTTTTTCTGGGTTTTGTATTGTGTTTTTATTGTCTTTGTCGTCTGCCAAACCGTAGTCATGGGCTTTCAGTTTTTGTTCTGAAAGGCTTTTCTTTTGTAATCGTTTTATTGTGACTAATATATGTTGACTTATTTTCCACAACCAGATGCAAGAGCGGCCGGCAGCGAGGAGACTTGAGAGAGAGATTTTGAAAGCTGTGTAAACACCATCGACGAGAGGGAGGCTGCTGATATTGCCGGCTGCGAGGAGGGAAAGAGATTGGGGTTCTTTCTCTGGTTTTGAGAATTTTGAGGGAGAAGATAAGTGAATAAGAAGTGAAAATGGAGTGACCGGGGGAAATCGCCTCACGTATACGGATATTTCTTTTACATGTATTTATAGGATATTGAAATATACTTTTAAATTTTAAAATTTTTTAATTTTTTTACATATTTAATATTTTTAAATTATGAGTTGGTATTTCAAATATATTTTTAATAAATTAAATTTTATTAAATATTGTGATATTTATTTTTTTTGTTTTTAATATACTCCAGTGATGTGATTTTAAAATAAAAAATTAGAGTATTCTTTAAAAAAATAAGTTTTAAATATAATAAAAAGATAAAAATTATATTTTTTTTAATTATAAAATAGTAGGAATATAATTTTTTGGCATATTAACCCTAATTAAATATGAAACTCTTAATTGAGACTAAGCAGTAAATAATTAGATAAGGATGGAAAAAAAATATAATTAATAATTAAGTTTAGTTCGATATTATTCAAAAAAACTATATATATGTTACGTTAGATATTTTTTAAATTAAAATTATTTTGTTATATTTTTATAACTTTTTGTAAATATATTTGCATGCATAAAAAATGTATCGAATTCTACAATTTTAACAATAAAACCATTGACATATTTTGGTATGTATATCAATATCTGTGCAATGTCGGTAAGGAACGAGTGACTTGGGTGTCTTGCGGAAAAGGAGAGTGCAATAGCACTCGGTAATTAGTCTAAGACGCTGATCTAATTGATATCATAGGGACTGGCCAAAAAAAAAAAAAAAATTAGATATCATAATGATGATGACAAGTGTCTACGCGTATTGAGTGCCTGTCTTTGCTGCACGTACTGAATCCAAATCCGTGTTGGATTGTGATTATTGAGTTGAGTAGCTGTATTAATATAGTGGGTCACGGTGCATCTGCATCATCTTTTCATTTCGTGACGATGTTGCTCAAGATTTTGCTGAGGTGAGAAGATTAATTCCGTAAGAAAAGCTAATCGGATTTTCAATATTCAGCCAAATATCTATGCGGCTTTTTATGATAAAAATAACTTTTATCATTCTAGAATATACCATTGAGTATATATCATATATTCACGCATTGCCTCACCAATTTTAATTACGGAGGAGCTTGTGGATTTCATGTACCATTCTACATTCTAGAATATGAATTAGACTTGGTTATCGTCAATCTTAGCTTTAATATGACGATGATGGAATATCTCTCATACATTCATGAGCCAGTTGAAGACAACTTAATACTTGTTTAGATTTCAATTTATATCTAACAAAAATACATTTAAAAAATTCAACCATTTATTAAATTTAATAAAAACACATTTTCAATATAATTTGAATGTACTTTTAAAGGTTATCCAAACAAGCTTTAGCCTATAGAATACAACAATCAACTCCATCTATATTTCTACAAATTACTACATATCAATCCACTCGTTTTATAGCCTTTGGTTAATTACTTGCAGGTTAACCAAAAACAAAATTTCAGTGCTAGTCCCTTCATTTCTTAAGTTTAAGAACTCTTTGGGGGATTTATTTTAGTTTGAATGCAAGCAATAATCAACTTTATCTTTTACTGGTAAAAAAATTTGCTTTATATATCTTTTATATTTATTACGTTTTCTCAAATTACCTGTATTGTTGTATTGCTTTAAAAAGTTATATTTATGTATTACTTATAAATGATAGGAGGATATCCAACTCAATTAACTAATTTTTTAATCTATGATTTAGTTAATTAATTCTCATATTTAAATTAAATATCAAAATACGGATTCGTATGAAAAGCAGAATATGTAATCTATTCATGCTTTTAATTGCCAAAAAGAGAGGGGATAGCTCATTGAAGGTGTCATCGGGGTTACTTTCTCTTTAACATCGACATTCGAAATTACAAGACATATACAAATTAATAACGCACTAATGATAGAAAATTATCAATTGATCATCTTATACAATATATTTAGAATAAGTTAAATTCGTATAGTCCCAGGACTCAACACGTCATCAAAATGATAGGCATAAATAACAAAGAAAAATAACAAGAAGTGGAGGCATCAACTAATGAATAGTTATAAATTGAAAATTCAATCAGAGAAGATTTGGCTCCAAAAAAAAATCAGAGAAGATTCTTTCCTCTTCCTTCCCATCCTCTTACCCTTTTCTTCTCAATTTCTAACCATTAATTAAATTAAGATTTTGGATAATCTAAATTTGATCTCCTTCAAAACATTTCATTTTATTTTACTTTTGTATTTTTAAATTGTTTTATCAAAATTTTAACAGTTTGAATTTTATTATTTATATTTTTTATAATTTAATATTTGAATAATAATTTTATGAAGAATCAAATATAAATGGTCTAAATCTTGATCTATTGGCCAGAAAAGGAAAAGGAAAAGGACAGAAAGTAGAGGAAACAATCCATGCCCCAAAATTCAAATGCCCAACTCCGCCTGCACCTCAATGATGGTTTTAGCGGAGTCTCTCAGCTTCTGAGCTTCCTCTTCAGTAAGGTGCACATTGGTGACACCCAATACGCCTCCTCTTCCAAGCTGAGCCGGCAAGCTCAAGAACACTTGTCCCCCGTATACGCCATGAAACCCGTTTGCGAGCACCGACACTGGGTGGATCTTCTTCTGGTCTCTCAGGATGGTTCGAGCCAAGCTAGCCACCGAGTACCCTATGGCCCAGCAAGTATAGCCTTTCAGACGAATCACTTCATAAGCACTCTCCACCACATGCTTGTGAATGTTCTCTAACGTCTCTTTCTCGTACTCTATCTGTTGCTTCTCCAGAAAGCTCAGCACCGGCACTCCCCCAATACTAATACTTGACCACAGAGCCACCGAGCTGTCACCGTGTTCCCCAACTATATAAGCCTACGAAAGATTATGTATGTATCACCAACTTTGAGCGTTAATTAAAGAACTACAATAAACAAACATGTGTGTGTGATGTAAAGCACGTCCTGAGCATTGACGTCGAGATGATCGGCCATGAGGAACCTGAACCTGGAGGAGTCCAGGTTGGTACCAGATCCGATGACTCGGTTTGAGGGGAAGCCGGAAAGCTTCCATGCAATGTAAGTTAACACGTCGACAGGGTTCGAAACGACGAGCAGGACAGTGTGTGGGGAATAACGAGCCAATGGAGGAATGATACCCTTAAACATGGCAAGGTTCCTTTGCAAAAGATTCAGCCTGGACTCGCCCTCGCTCTGGCGGGCGCCCGCGGTGACAATACAGAGGTCAGATCCCACGGTGATGGAGTAATCAGTGGAAGCATGGATCTTTGTGCGAGGCAGAAACGCGGCGGCGTGCTGCAAGTCGAGCATCTCTCCACGGAGCTTGTCCGGCACGGCGTCAAGGAGGACAAGCTCGTCGGTGATGTCTTGAGTGAGGATGGTCTGGGCTATGGCCATGCCGACGTTGCCGGCTCCGATGACGGATATCTTGGTGTGTCTCTTGGTGGGAGAGGGAGGAGCAGTGTGAAGAATGGACTTGAAGAAGGCTTGGGACAGATCCAAGCCTCCTGGACCCAAGTAGGAACCTGAAGAACTCTTAGGCATGTTGTGTTAATTTTGTTTGAGAATGTATCACCGTGGAGGATTATTGCATTGGATGGTCATGAAAGAGTATATTTATAGACCTGTCTCTGGGACTGAGGACAGACGTATAGTGAAAGTTTCCGTAGAAAAGGTTTGAGACTTTGTGTAAGGGCCAAGGAAGAGGGGTTTTCATCAACTGCAAGTTAAACCAATCTGACGGAAACAAAAGGGGTTTTCAAATGAAATGAGCCGAACTTAATTTGATGACTACGTTTCATTAACATGAAGCTTATGTACAGCTTAGTGCTTAACGGCGTTGTTAGTGTTTGTAGTTGTTATTTTTGATAGTTTTTCAACAAGATGGGTAAGCAGTAGAATTTGGGGGGCCGTAGATCGTCGCGTGGATTGGGAAATTCATTAGATTTTGCTTCAAGAAAAACAAAACCAGAGAAATATGAAATTGGATTCTTCCTGATACTGTTAAATCAATCCTTTTTCCTTCTCTTTGGTATATTGACTAATGTAATTGTTACTTTTGTCCCACCACGAGGATACCAACATGCAAATCTGTGGTCTGTAGGCTGGTGCGGTGTTTGTTTATAAGTTGAAGATTTTGTTTATAAGTTGAAGATCTCTATAGTCAACCATCCGTAAAAAGTAAACTTAGCCTTTTCTTTTTTTATCATTCATGTTCGCGATTTTTTATATAAAAAAAATTAATTTCAATTTCAAATCTCGTTTAAATGGTGCTGACTTTTCTATCACTCAACCCAATCACCTGTACTATCATGATTATTGTGTAAATGAGAATAAAGAGCCGTTAATTAACAATATTAGGCAAGACTCCCCTTCAAGATATTCCATATTGGGCTGGGCTGTAATTCCTCAAGGAAGCATTAATCAGTGAGGCTGGACCCAATGATTTTGACAAAATCGTCCGGCCCAATGCTTTTGCTCCTCAATCCAAAATTTCTTCTGAATAAATTTTTACTCCATTAAAAGATTTATAGCACGCAATCCTATATGTTTTGTCGTCAAGCCAACAGCCAAGCTTTGCACGATAATATATTTAAAATTAATATTTTTAAAAAATTAATAATTATATTGTAATAGCATAAGTAAATTCATCCTACTTTTTTTTAATAGCATAATTATATTAAATAGGATGATATGATCTTTTCATATAAATATATTTTTATATCTTATCTTGGTCATTAAAATATTATTGCATGTTTGATTATTATTTCTATGATATTTTTTCTGAAAAAAATTTAAAAAAATTTCTGAAAATGTGCTTTCTATTAATTATTCCGAAAATAAAAAAGTTAAAGGCTGTTCTAAAGAACTAAAAAATTTAAACTTTTTTAGATATTTTATTACATTTTGTTCTGCAAAGCTAGCTAGAGAAAAGGTAAAAATATCATGTCTTTATTAATGACAATTATATTAATAAAATAAATTCTTCTTTCATCTTTCGTCTTTCATTTCATAACTTTATACATGTTTTTCAAAAAAAATGATTTCAAACATATTTTTTTCTTTTTTTTATTTCTAAAACTTATCCTGAAAAATTATTCAAATTGTTTTAAGAACATAAAAACAGAAAACAGAATCAAACAAACCCTATAAATCTAATTAGTTTTTAAATCCAAATATTTGTTATTTTGTCTAAATTTTGCAATGTATCAAAAGTATGGGATGCCAAGTTGTGAAATCTATACATCCTTGTTTATAATTTTTCCCAAGTGACCTTACTGCATTTCACAGCCCATTTGGTTCAATCATAGACCTGAATGCAATATATATATGTATATATATGACTGAAGAAATGTCTAAATTAATCAGAGAAAATGACAAATCAGTAGAATCATCATAATGAACCCTATCATCTGCCATCGCTTCCTGTGTGAGATGTGGGAGAAGATCATAGGTACAAGAGTTAGTCTCCATCTTGTGAGACAATCTAGCTAGCGTATCAGTAAAATAATTATGGTCCCTACTAAAGTAATTAACAGTTACATTCCAGTTCCTATGGAGGACCTGAATGGAATATTGAGTGTCTATTAAGTGCTGGTTTGGTATGTGCCAGTAATTAATATCCCATAAATTATCAAAAAACTATTTTAGTCTTGATTAATAAATAAACTTCCTTCCCAATCTTTCCTCCGCACAAATTAAATCAACAATGGATTCAGACGATAACATCAACTACAAAACCACACATCATAATCAAATCTGAAAATCAAATATTGAAAAGATTAAAAATAGATCTGGAAGTGAGGAACGGAAAAAAGGTAATTTCAAATGGAGAATGGTGTTGTTGCCGGTGAGTTCAAAAAAGAAGAAAAGTCACTGCCAGTGAGTTCAAAGAAGAAGAAGGTTGCCACTGAAAAGTTAAAATAAGAAGAGGAAGGCCATTGCTGATGAGTTCGAAGATGAAGAACGCGCCACCATCCACCATCGATGAGTTCGAAGGAGGAGGAGGCCGCCGCTAGTGAGTTAGAAGATGAAGAAGGCTGCTGATGAGTTTGAAAAAGGAGGGGGTGGTGGCCGCCATATGAGAGTTTGAAGATAAAGAAGGTTGTTGCTGGTGAGTTTGGAGAAGGAAGAGGAAGTCACCGTTGGTGAGTTCAAAAATTAGAAGAAGGTCGCCAATGGTGAGTTTTGAAGAAAAAGATGGTCGTCCTCGCTGCCATGTTTGAAGGAGAAGAGATTGTCATCTGTGGGTTTGAAGAAGAAGCTAGGTCACCGCTATTGAGTTCAAAGAAGAAAGCCGAGATGAGCGGAGGGGCTAACGGTCAATGAAGGGCCCAGGATTCAGGACCCATGACAAGTGGGAGCACAATTTTTTTTTTTTTTTTGGTGAGTCACAGATTAATATGCTCCAGTGATAGTAAAATTTCATTTGCCCTATGTATTGAAGGTAAGGGAGAGGCGTATGTGAAGGTTTTCTAAACATGCAAGAGTTGGTATTTAAATCAAAACCACTTGTTTAAATAATAATGAGGCTACTACCATGTATATTATATAAATGATTTTAATAAAAATCTAGAAAAAGACAAAATAATAAAATAAATGAATTCACTAAAAACATGTTCCTTTTATACTACAATATAAGGCATTAATAATTACTTCATGATTCAGAAAAAAATTAGGTGAAACCAGCAACTGTAATCTTTTAAAATATTTGACATTTTTTAATTATGTCCTCATTAAATAACCTATATGGATGTCTTAAAAATAACAGTTAAAATTTTAATGCATCATTTCTTTAAACAAGTAATAGTTGAAAGTAGGGGTATGGTTAAAAAAATAATTATAAAACTAATCTAATACCCTATATTTTAAATCAAACAGAACTTCTAGAAGATATCAAATATTTTGATATGGTTTGAAATAAAAGTTATCAACGATATTAGACTCCAATCAAGAGACAATATCCTTAATCATGATGGCAAGAGATCTGAAGCACAATGGAGACCTCCTAAAGTAGGTTGGATCCATCTTGACGTTGATGGGTCTGTCAGATATAATGGAGCGGTAACTTGTGGAGGTATGATAAGAGATGACAAAGGCAATTGAATTAAGGGTTTTTTCAAGTGTCTTAGCTACTATCCCAACACTGCGGCCGAGCTCTTGTGTATTTTGAAAGGTCTTCAGCTTTGTTGGAACAGGAGATTTACTAAAATCAATATTCATTCTAATTTCATTGAAGCCCGTTCACTTATTCAACACAATATCCCTAATAATCACATCCTTTATCTGATACTATCAAGAGAGTCAGATAGTTCATCATGAAATGTAGGATAGTTATTTTTAACTACATGTTCAAAGAAACGAATAAATGCGCTGACATACTTGATCACTAAGTCTCTCGAGATAATTTAAATATTGTTATTTTTAATCATCCACTGTAGGTCTCTCATGAAATCTGACATGACCTGATTTTAGTACTCTTTCACACAGTTTTTCCATGGCCTTATATTAAAAAAATAAAAAATAAAAGTTCAATAAAAAAATATCATGTATAATACTTACATTATTCTAAAATCTTAATCCTCTATCACCACCCATTATTCCAAATTTTGTCAACTTCATATTCATCCCAATATCTTAAATCTAAAGTTTTAAATCTATAACTATACTTTTTCTTCCAACTTAGTCTATATATGACCCCTTACATGGACTTAGGTGACTATTGTCATCTCTCTTTTTTCTTTCTCTTCCTTTATTCTTCTATCAATCAATAGGTTCAAAACTAGCACATTACTAAGAGAAAATTAAAACCCAATCCATATTTACACAAAGCATCATACAACAATTATGCCCACCCTCAAATATATATAGGTTAGGTAGGTCCGCCTGACGATATAGATGAGTGCAATGAAGATTTATGGAATGAAGAATGAAGTATGAATGAGTATTACTGTCATTTTGGTAATAATAATTCCACGGGTCCAGATGGTAATGAGTTGCTTAATAATTTTTTCTTTTTAATAAGCTGCTTAAGATTTTGCTGCCATGAGAAGAATGCCTTAGTAAAAGCTAATAGGATCTTCAATATTCAGCCAAACATATATGAGTAACTTTTTACATATACATGACCGTCATTCTGGAACATACCATTTGAGTATCATTCATGCATTCATTGCAGGACCAATTTTAATTAAGGAGCTTCTAGATCTCATGTATACCATTCTAGGATGAGTTAGTCGGTTATCAACAATCTTCGCTTTAATATGACAATCGAATATTTCCCATTCATTCACAAGCCAGTTGAAGTGCTCCATACCATTTTATGGCTCTGGCCTTTACGCGGACATCACATGCGTCACCCCATTTAGTTGCTGAAAATTTCAGGAAAGTTTGAATGTTTCAATTCATCACTCTTGATTTCCCTATCTTTACAGCCTTTGCTTAATTTATCTGGTTAAAAAATTCAATACTACGTATGGGAATAAGAAATGATGAAAAGAAAAAAAATAATTGAAAATATTCAATATTTTAGAATATTTAAAGATTAAAGATATTTTATCTTATTCATTAATAATTAGGAATATTTATTTTAATTGACGTAATATTTGAATTATTATTATCTTTTTAATTTTTATTTATTATTATCTTTTCATTTAATTTTAAGATTTTTAAAATTTTCACCAAGCATCTTAACTCATTTACAAGAGTTAATTGTGAATTGTAAAACCAATCACTTGAGACTTTTTTTGTTGTTGTAAATATATAGATAAATCATTTAAAAAATCTATAAAATACATTTAAATTATTTGTAATGTAATCTGTTAAAAATTTACAAAAGTTAGTTATGAATCACAAATCAATCATTTGTATTTTTTACTATCAATCTATAAATCGCTAGAGAAATCAATAAAAGATATATAAGAATCTTTGTAACATTAATTAAAAATTTATAAAATTCAGTTATGAATATCAAGTGAATCAACAAAAGATACTATATTGCAAGTAAAGATTATGGTCCATTATTGAAATTGCAACAATTCAAAATGTTCATTCAAAAAAAAAAACTTTGGGATGTGTAATTATAATTAATGTTCCTGTGGGGTCTTTAATGATCATTTCCCCTAAATTAAAAATGCACCGTCCATGGACTCAGCGCGTCATCAAAATGATAGCCATAAATAATAAAGAAAAAAAAATGAAAAACAAAGGGAAATAATAAGAAATACACAAATCGCGGGGCATCCTAATGAATAATTAAATTGAAAATTCAAATGCCCAACTCAGTCTGCACCTCAAGGATGGTCTTAGCAGAGTCCCTCAGCTTCTGAGCTTCCTCTTCTGTGAGGTGCACATTGGTGACACCCAAGACACCTCCTCTTCCAAGCTGAGCCGGCAAGCTCAAGAACACTTGTCCTCCATCGTCGATGCCATGAAAACCATTTGCAAGCACCGAGACTGGGTGGATCTTCCTCTGGTCTCTCAGGATGGTTCGAGCCAAGCTAGCCACCGAGTACCCTATGGCCCAGCAAGTGTAGCCTTTCAGACGAATCACTTCATAAGCACTCTCCACCACTTGCTTGTGTATGTTCTCTAATGTCTCCTTCTCGTACTCTATCTGTTGCTTCTCCAGAAAGCTCAGTACTGGCACTCCACCAATACTAATGCTTGACCACAGAGCCACCGAACTGTCTCCGTGTTCCCCAACAATATAAGCCTGCAAAAGTTTATGTACTTATCACCAACATTGAATAGTAAACACATATGTATATGGTTGATGTGAAGATAATCACCTGCACGTCCTGAGCATTGACGTCGAGATGATCGGCGATGAGAAATCTGAACCTGGAGGAGTCCAGGTTGGTGCCGGATCCGATGACTCGGTTTGAGGGGAAGCCGGAAAGCTTCCATGCAATGTAAGTTAATATGTCGACGGGGTTGGAAACGATGAGCAGAACAGTGTTTGGGGAATAACGAGCCAGTGGAGGAATGATACCCTTAAACATGGCAAGGTTCCTTTGCAAAAGATTCAGCCTGGACTCGCCCTCGCTCTGGCGGGCGCCGGCGGTGACAATACAAAGGTCAGATCCGACGGTGATGGAGTAATCAGTAGAGGCGTGGATCTTGGTGCGAGGCAAAAATGCGGCGGCGTGCTGCAAGTCGAGCATCTCTCCACGGAGCTTGTCAGGCACGGCGTCAACGAGGGCGAGCTCGTCGGTGATGTCTTGAGTGAGGATGGTCTGGGCTATGGCCATGCCGACGTTGCCGGCTCCGATGACGGAGATCTTGGTGTGTCTCTTGGTGGGAGAGGGAGGAGCAGTGTGAAGAATGGACTTGAAGAAGGCTTGGGACAGATCCAAGCCTCCTGGACCCAAGTAGGAACCTGAAGAACTTTTATGCATGTTGTGCTAATTTTGTGTGAGAATGTATTGTTGTGAAGGATTAATGCATCGAATGGTTTATTATGAAGCATATTTATAGAGGTGTCTCAGGGAATGAGGACAGAAATGTAATAGAGAGGAAGCTTCCGTAGAAAAGGTCTGAGACTTTGCGCGTGTGGGGGGGGGGGGGTTGGGGGGGCTAAGGTAGAGAGAATTTTCAACGGTAAACGTTTGTGACGAAAACATATTCAAAGCATTTCAAATGAAACGAGCCAAATTTGGACGGCCACGTTTCATTATAAGCACAACACGAAGCTTATTCTTCTTTAGGATTATTAGTATTGGTTATTATAACGTGTAAGTACTGTTCTTCTACTCTTTGTCGGCAAGTTTTCCATATATAAAAATGTTTAATGATGGAATTGGGAAGACCGAAAAGTTATCACGTGGTTGAGAAATTTCCCGGATTTTGCTTTCCCAATAACAAAACCAGAGAAGAATGATAGTGGATTATTCTGGTATTGATAATTAAATAAGTCTTCTTTTCATTCTTTTTGGTCTATTGACAAATGTAATTGTTGCTTTTGCACAGTGTTGGTTCTAGAAATCTGTGGGCTAATAAGTTGTTTATTTAACGTGAAGATTTCAAAAGTCAAATATTCTTTTGTCCCCCGACTTTCTTTGCCTTTCAGCAATGGGAGTTAAAAAAACGAACGGACCCAGCTTATATGGCCTCGATGGGCTCGATTTTTAAAAATTCGGGTCTTTAAATTCAATTTTTTTAAATATTTTATTTTTTAAAACTTGATCTTTATATAAAGATTGAAAATCAAGTCCGTAAATTTTTTATTTTTTAAAATTTTTAAAAATTAAAATTTTTAATTATAATATTTTATATATTTTATAAAAATATAAATTACAATGTTTAAAAATTAAAATAAATAATAGAAAATTTAATTTTAAAGTATAACATATATTTTAAAATTTAAATTAATTTAAAAATTAAAAACATTTTATTTTTTAAGAAACAAAAAAAAAGGAGCTTAAAAGGGTAGCCGAGCCTTTTTTTAGTGTCTATAGGGTCGGGCTTGAAAATTCAATTTTTTTAAAAAATATCCATTTTTTTAAACTTGAACCCTTATAAAATAGGTTTAAACAAGTGGTTTTTTAGATCCAACCTTTATTTTCAATTTTAATGGTAGGTGGTGTTATTCTTTGGACTTAAACTTTAACATGAAAAAAATATTACCTGGCTAAAAAAATTGAAAGAAATAATATGACTGGACTCCCAAAATCAAGTTCAAAACAAGACGTGAAACTCCTTTTTGCATACTTCAGATTCAGAGATACAACATACAAGTGCATTTGATTTATGTCTTGGCAAGTCAGATGCGTTATGTCATGCGAATGAGATATGACGTGGCTGTTAAGACAAAATACAAAAAGAAACAATTTTTTATTTTTATTTTCAAATTTTTGCTCCCCCAGCTGTGATCATGCTGAATTTTTCCCCCAAGAATGTAACAAGCGCATCATGGCTGAGATTCTGGTTTTTTTTTTTTTTTGTAATTAACCGGAAAAGAAAGTTTTTTAAACTAAAGGTCCTGTAAATAATGGGTTAGACATAAAAATTAATATCAATGTAAAAAAAAATAGCATATCATACTATTTATAAATTATTACAAACATTGCGATTTAGTTATGAACCATTTATTTTATAACTACTTATATATACATATGAACAATACTATTCATGACTCACTTTGAATATTGATTTTAATTTATGTCTTTATTATTAGATTTTATATTAAAAATAAATTAGATACACATATTTTCAATGAATTAATAATTAATAATTATACAGATATAATCCAGTTGCAGCTGAAATAATGTGTGCGCGTGCGACGTGAAATGCGAAGAGATGCGCGCGCGCGCGCGCGCTGTGAAATGGGAAGAGATAGGGAGAAGAGAGGGCAAAGGAAAAGAAGGGAGAGAGAAAAGAGAAAAGAGAAAGAGGAAGTTGGAAAAATAGAAATTAGTGGAGATCTGACTAAGAAATTAAGGCTTTTAATAGATCCATAAAAGATGGTTAAAAAAATAGACCCATAAAAGTATTAAAATAGTAATAAATTAAATCATAATCCAAATCTTAAAAGATAACAAGATAATTTAGATTTATCTAGATATTATATTTTAATGAAAATAAATAAAACCTAAAATAATCTTAAAAAGATGGTGATAAGAAAATCCAATTAAAAAATTATGCTTTTCCTTCGCTTTGTATGTAAAAAAAGAAAATTAAATTAAATTATAAATAATCTAAGAGATATTCTAAATATCATTATTTAGATAATTCTAATAAAATAACCCTAATTAAATGTTATCCCCAATTCCCCCAATATATTTTATTTAAAAATACAATTTATAATTTATTTTTATATTATAATATTATAATAGTGTTATAATCTCCGGAATTTTCATTCTCTTCCTCAAAATTTATCGAGTATAAATTAATAATAATCAAAGGTGCTTCCAAGAACCTATCCGTTTGGACAGCTGGCGACAAACAACACGATTATTTTATCGGGAACCTATAAGGGAAGAACACGGTAAAAGACCTCTAAAGTATTTTATTTACAGAAAAAGACTGCAAGATTATGAATTTACTTTACAATACTAAAGGATTTTGAATTCACAGGACTAAAAAATTAAAATGTAATTAAATTTTAATGTGAAAATACAAAACCAACCCTCATTTTTTTTTTATAAAAATCCCCTTATTATCATTGACCACTAGTGGCTAAACCATCTCATAGGACTAGATGTTGAAGCTTCTCGAGTCACTAAATCATTGAGGGAGACAGATTAAATTTTTTTAAGGTGGTCAAGGGAAGTTTTGAACCCACATCTCCTTAGAGACAAAAAGAAAAAAAAAAAGCTACATACTAAGCTAGCAATTCTTTCTAATTATATAACATAAATCTTTATGTATATTTGGAAAAATTAATTTTAAATCCTTACATTTTACTCAAATTTTATCATAAATCCCTGTATTTTTTTCAATGTTGTAAATTTCTGTCATATTGCTCATAGAAAGACATAAAACACTTAAAAATAAAAGTATAAACTTAAAAAATTAAAAAATACAGGACTTGTAATAAAACTTGAACAAAATATATGAATTCAAATTATGTATTTTTTCAATATATTTTTAACTTTATTTTCACTTTTCATACCTGTACTTATCAAGAGTTTAATGTTTACTTATCATTTCACAAATAACTACTTATTAAATCGATGGGACTTGTTAAAAAATTTAATATACATAAGTTTTTATAAATATTTGCTTTTTTATTAATAAAAATGACAAGTCGTCATTGCTAATCTAACAAATAATTATTTGTGGAATGATAAGTATCATTACTAGTTTTAAAATTTTTTTTGATAATTTGAGAAATAAGTCCTCATTGATAATTTAATAATTAACTATTTGTGAAATAACAAGTTTCGTTACTAGTTTTAAAATTTTTTTAATAATTTGATAAGTAAATTTTAGCAAAATAACAAGTTCATTTAAACTTATAACATGTAAAATTTTTATAATAAAAATAAGCAAATATTTATAAAACCACTCCATATTAAATTTCTTTAATAAATCTCAATTAATAATTTAACAAATAACTATTTATGAAATGATAAATTTCATTACTAGTGTTGAAAATTTCTCTTGATAATTTAAAAAATAAATTTTGACAAAATAACAAGTTCACATAAGTCATTGACATGTAAAATTTTGTAATGAAAACAAAGTAAACATTTATAAAAAAATCACTCTATATTAACATTTTTTAATAAATCTTTATTGATAATTTAACAAGTAAATCATATGTAAAATAACAAGTTTCGTTACTAATTTTAAAAACTTCTCTTAATAATTTGACAAACAAGTCCACATTGATAATTTAATAAATAACTATTTGTGAAATGACAAGTCCATCACTGATTTTAAAAATTTTTCTTAATAATTTGATGAGTAAATTTTAATAAAGTAATAAATTCATATTTGCTTTTGACATATAAGCTTTGGATAATAAAAACAAGTAAATATTTATAAAAACCACCTCATATAAATTTCTTTAACAAGTCTCTATTATTAATTTAAAAAATAATCATTTTTGAGATAATGACAAATCCCATTATTAGCTTTAAAAATTTTTCTTAATAATTTGATAAGTAAATTTTAGTAAAATAATAAATTTATATAAGTTTTTGACATGTAGGCTTTTGATAATAAAAATAAGAAAACATTTCTCATAACTAGTGCATATTAAATTTTTTAACAAGTCTCACTAGTAATTTAACAGCTAATCATTTGTGAAATGATAAATAATCATTAAACTCCTAACAAGTATTGGCACAAAAAGTAAAAACAAAGTAAAATATATATAAAAATTTGTATTATATAATTGCAATAAATTATTAGCCTACTAGCTAACTATCATTTTGGTCCTCAATGAGTGTGGGTTCAAACCTCTTGATCACTTTAAAAGAAAAAACAAAATAAATTTATCCCACTTGATAGTTTAGTGACCAACATTGGAGCCTAGTAAATGATTTGGCCATTGGTGTCAAAGCTTTGGCATTTGATTTGGTGAGTGGTTTGGCTATCAATATTAGAGCTTTGGCATTTGATATGGCGGGCAGTTCGGCCATTAATGGCATAGCTCGACGAGTGGTGTTGTGGTGATAGTTTTTTTTTTTTTTATATGAGATAATTCTATCTTTTCACACTAAAATTTAATTATATTTTAATTAATTAGTCTTATAGAGTGAATTAAGAATCTTTTGATCCTTTGACATAAATAAAATGCTTTAGAGATCCTTTGCTGTGGTTTTCTCAACATATAATTCAAAATACGCCCGAGTATTGAAGGTAAGTATCCCTACTATAAAAAATTTAAAATCGAATCTCGGTGCGTTCTCATTTCTCAAAGCATACTTTGAAAATATCAACTTATGGCCCAGCCCAGCTGGCCGGCATGTAAAATTATTAACATTATCAGTGCATGTGAAATAACAAAATTAGTTTATGTTTATTATCAGGCCAGGATCCCCGGCCCACTAACACCTGCCGTTGCGAGTCCATATCTAAAATGTGACAACAATAAATTCATGAGCGTGCCTTATACCAAAAAAAAAAAAAAAAACAAACAGATATCGAGCTAGCGCGGTTGGTGACGTTCGCTTGTGTTACCTTGAAGGGGAAGTATGGTGGAGGATTTTTATTTTAGAAATAATGAAATAAATTATTAAGCGAACGCTCGCTGACCCAGTTACTTTCTATCAGCTTTTCCTAGCCCTAGACTTCATCATCGAGGCTCGCCAATCTTCGCCATGATACTCTTCGATTGATTGGGCGTTTTCTGCATCACTTCGGATTTTCTCTGGGCGCGGCGGAGGAGTTTCGCGATTCTCATCGGAAGGTTCGATCTTCACCGATCATATCACATCTTCGCTCCGTGGTTCGATATTCCTGATTGGTTGGGTCGATTTCTTCAGAAACAGATCCTGTTTCTCTCTGATTGTTCCTTCCCGTTCGGATTGTTGCTGCTACTAGTTCGAGAGGGTTGCTTCTGTTTTAGATCCCTCTAATATTCATCCAATCCAAGGGCGATGACGATCTAAGCACTCTAATTCGTGCTTTTGGAGGCTTCTGAACTTGGACGCTTGACGGAGTTTAGATTTTCTTGAATCTGAAAGTTGCAATTTCTAACGAAGACGAAGACTCGGCATCTGGCTGCGGGAAAAAAATCAAGGAGAGCTCACCGTTTTGCCGGTTCGATTTGTGCGATCCTATATGAGTAATTGACAATAGGAGAAAAAGAAAAGAAAAGAGCTTCAATATTGTACTGATTGTTTAGAAGTTTGATATCAGGCGCTCATTTTATCGAGGCCTTTGATTATAGTTTATTTGTTTTTCGCTATTGTGTTGCTGTTATCCTTTTTCTTTATAGATTGAAAGAGAAATATACCATGGCGGTGTATTATAAATTTAAGAGTGCAAGAGATTACGATTCAATTCCTATGGACGGTCCTTTCATCTCTGTTGCTACATTGAAAGAAAAAATTTTTGAATCAAAGCATTTAGGCAAGGGTACTGATTTCGACCTTGTGGTCACCAACGCCCAGACCAATGAAGGTTGGTTCTGATTTCAATTAAACTATTGTCTTGGGGCTATGGGGTTCATGATTAATTTTAAATTTAAACAATATGGTTTTTTCCTTCTAGTTTTACACTCTGAGCTCTGTAATCTGGTTTTCAGGAGGATGTTTCATGGTTAAAGTTACAGTATTTACCATGTTTCATTTTTATCTTAGAAGAAAAACTCATGGAATTCTTTCTATTTTCTAACTACAATACTCAAAATCTTGTTCCATGCTTAAACAAACTAAAGGGAAATGACTTCTGATAAGTGGCATTGGTTGTTGGTCAGGATGTTCAGATATAATTAGGCTGCAAGCTACTGATAGGAATTTCATGCGTCCAACTTTGCGGGATTTTAGTATGGTTTTGTGTATTATATATGCAGTGTTTTATAGTGTCTCTGTCTCTTTGGAATTTCAGAATATCTTGATGAAGCAATGTTGATACCTAAAAATACATCAGTGTTAATACGTCGAGTTCCTGGACGGCCACGTTTACCAATTGTTACTGAACAAGAGTACTATCTCAAACCTAAAATCTCAATAACTGTTAGATTTATCACGACAGATCGTTCATTTTGTTATTTAGGATAAATTCACAAAACCCTCACTTTTATTGCAGTTCATATCATATTTGGCACAATTAGCAGTAAAATACTGCTCTTTTCCTTGCAATGTCTGCTGATATATTTGATCTTTCTTTGAGTTGCTACTTGTTTTACATTTTGCAGGCAAAAGGTGGAAAATAAGGTGGTGGAAATTGAGCCTGAAAAGAGTAGCATACCAACTGTTGATGCATCTTCCATGAAATATGTAAGTGTCTTCTTTTATAATTTCTTATCCTGTCAAATGTTTCTTCTGCATTCCTTAGGAGATAAGTGCTTATTAAGTGCTTAATAACAGCCTGAAGACTCTGAATGGGATGAATTTGGCAATGAGTTGTATGCAATTCCTGATGTATTGCCTGTTCAATCGAGCAACTTAATACCAGAGGCTCCTCCAACTACAAATAAAGCTGACGAGGACAGTAAGATTAAGGCTTTGATTGACACTCCAGCCTTGGATTGGCAGCGGTGAGTTTTCTTCTTTCTTTAGCTCTCGCCAAATACCTCTACTTTATAATATTGTTGATTTTTTTTTTTTTGGTGGGGTGTGTAGACAAGGTTCTGATGGCTATGGTAGGGGTTTCGGAAGGGGCATGGGTGGACGGATGGCTAGTGGACGTGGTTATGGTAATTCTCTTGGCCTGTGCTTGAATTTTTCCTTTTTCCCCCTTCCCTTTCTTGGCCTACTGCTTTGAATGATGTCATGTTTACTTATTCTTGCTGGTTTGGGCAGGCTTGCAACAGAAAACACCTCCACCAGGTTACGTGTGTCATAGGTGCAAGGTGCCTGGTATGTATTGAATAAAAGTTTCTATTTTCTTATGCAAAATGGTGGGTAGCAATGCCAATGTGCTTAGACTACCTCCTTTCTCTTGTTCAGGGCATTTTATTCAGCATTGTCCTACAAATGGTGATCCAAATTATGACCTTAAGAGGGTGAAGCCACCCACTGGCATTCCGAGATCAATGCTTATGGCAGCTGCTGATGGTTCTTATGCTTTGCCAACTGGTGATGTAGCTGTCTTGAAGCCAAACGAGTGAGTACCTTGACACTTATCTGATATATTATTTCATTCATTTGCAGGCATGAAATTAATTGCCATCTTTCTTTATAAAAGGGCTGCTTTTGAAAAAGAAATAGAAGGCTTACCAACAACACGCTCTGTTAGTGATATACCACCTGAACTCCGGTGCCCCTTGTGCAAGGATGTGATGAAAGATGCTGTACTAACAAGCAAGTGTTGTTTTAAAAGTTTTTGTGACAAATGTAAGTTTTGCTGTACTTATATTGTTTGCTTTTTGAAGTTGAGCATTTTGTTGATCAGCTGATGCTAATTTTTAAATTTTCCCCCAGGTATCAGGGACTACATCATCTCCAAATCTGTTTGCGTTTGTGGTGCAGCTAATATACTTGCAGATGATCTTTTACCAAATCAGACGACAAGAGACCTAATTAGTCGCATAATGGAGACAGGAACTACTAGCGCTGAAAATGCTGGGAGTGCATTTCAAGTTCAAGGTTATTTATGATGGGATCTGTAACTATTACTAGTTATTAACTTGTCGTTATTTACATTGTTTCCCTGCTTTGGATTTTTTTAGATATGGAGTCTGCTCGTTGTCCACAACCCAAGATTCCTTCTCCAACCTCATCTGCTGTGTCTAAGAGAGAACAAAAGGCGTCCCCTTCTGATGAAGGAAAAACGAAAGTGCAGGAGACAGCTGATGATAGAAAGGCATTATCTGTGCCACAGAAGATGTCGGAAGATGTAAAGCCCACAAGAGCTGCTGATGTATCTGAAGCTACTCATGAGTCAATGACTGTAAAGGAACAAGCTTCACAAGGTAGTGCTCAGCTGGTTGAGGAAGAAGTGCAACAAAAGTTGGCTCCTATTGAGGCAGGTAATGCAAATTGGTGTCAAGTTGTTTTGATAACTCTTCAAGTTATACTGAGGAAGAGACGGAGGGTGGTTATTGGGGAGCTTATGTGAATAAGGATGATAATGGGAGGACCATCGTAGAAAAACTTATTCTTTTTCCTCTCCCTTTTCCCCCTTTTTTAGGCCAGTTTCATGAGTTTTTTTTCTTTTCTTTTCTTTTCTTTCTTTCTTTCTTTTTTTTTTTTCTGCAGCGAAGAAAAAGAAAAAGAAGAAAGCTCGTGTACCCATTGTACCCACAAATGGTAATCTGCTGCTCTCTTTTCTTTCTTATGTATTGACATGCTTCTGTAATGTTTCTTTTGAGATCTTATGCATGTAATGCTGGAACTTTTAGTGGAAAAAATGGAAAGCTTGTGCCTCTTATTCATGTTGTGTAACTCATTTTAAATTAAATTTTGGATGCATCTTGCAGACTTTCAGTGGAAAACTCCACAAGACTTTGGAGCTGATAACTATATGATGCCTATGGCTCCGCCCCCAGGCTATAATCCATACTGGAATGGCATGCAACCTGGCATGGAAGGATTTGTGGCACCATATGCAGGTGCAATGCAAATGATGAATTATGGCTTAGGCCCCATAGATATGCCTTTTGGGGGTGTTATGCCTCATGATCCCTTTGGCATGCAGAACTACATGCTGCCTGTTGTTCCACCTCCAAGGTATTTGTTAGGCTAATTATCAATATTTATCTCCATTGATTGGGGGTAAATGGCATCACTTCATCCTCCTAATCTTGCTAGGCTGAGGGAGTTTTTTTTTTTTTTGGGTTTTTTTTTTTTTGGGGGAGGGGTGTTAGAAAATTTGCTTGCGTGTATAATTTTATATATAGGTACAAGACTGCAGTCGACATGATTTTAACTCATGAGACATATATCTTGTTACATGTTAAGGGATCTTGCGGAGTTTAGCATGGGCATGAATGGCATGAATGGCATGAATGCTATGAATGCTCCCCTTCCGATTATGAGTAGAGAGCAGTTTGAAGCTCGGAAAGCTGATCTCAGGAGGAAGCGTGAAATTGAGAGACGTGGAGAAAGGTACTATAAATGGAATTTCTAGTTCAGCTATTCGGCTATTTCATTCAATTCTATTTATTGCCTGTACTTGTTATTGTAATTATATCTACGATTTTAACTGTTATCTTTCACTTTCACAATTTTGTCAAGAAGTTATTGAATTGGAATACTTGTTTTCTGAATAAAGTTTCAACCATTTCAATTCTATTTATTTGAATTGGAATACTTTCTGAATAAACATACCAGGCACATTCCTAGAGCGAAATTATGGATGTCAGAGGATATCTGAATGATTGTTTAAAATGGTGGTTAATTCATGATTTAATGCCTTAGAATTTGATTTCCACCTCACTCCTTTTGCCTCTTAGTAATGGACAAGGGTACTTGGTTATGGACAGAGAAAACATATTTTAAATGTATTGACGTGATTGTTGCTCGATGATCGATGCCGCTGTGCATCTTATTTCAAGTGTTTGGTATATTTTTACTGTGCGTTTACGAGACTGTTTCATCATGAAACAGGGACATGGCCAAAGATCGGGAGATTGGTAGGGAAGTGAACAGTGGTGGGGATGTTCCTCCGATAAAATCAAAATCTGTATGTACTTTTTATTTTTGTAATTTCTCTTTTTTCTGGTGGACTCACGCGGCATTTGCCCTTTTGAGTAGTAGTTCTTTTGAAAGCTTAGCAAGAAAAAGTACCCACACCCTGGGCAAAAAGAACACCGATATTGCACTAGATAACGCCACGTTCAATTTTGGTTGCGTGTGGTTATGTGTTGTGGAATGTGGAGGGAGCAACGACCCTAATATAGTTTGCCATATTTCTGAGGTCAACGACAACCAACAAATGGTTTAGAAGTTCGTTGAAATAAAACCTCGACGGTGTTAGGTTCCGACATATAATTAGCTGGGCTTCCATTGCTCTACTTGAGATCTTGAGCTGACACTACATTGAACAAGTGCGGCAAAGTGGGGATGCTGATCCTGAATTTGTGCCTGCTTATTATTCCTCCGTTTGTATTATTACTAATTATTAATTTCATCTAGGCCTGGAATCTCCAAGAGGAGTTTTTCTGTTACTGAAAAGAATTGGTTGTTCGAGGGGTACAGAAACGTATCCTTACGTGAACAAACAATTATTTATTTTTTAAAAATTAGTGATTACATTTGTATTACTTTTATTCTTTTCAAAGACATTACAAGAACGATTTTGTATATTTAAAATTCTAATTATTTTTAACTTAATTTATATTTTTATATGTATCAAAACTGGGTTTTACTTTTGTGGGTTTTTTACATGTATAAAATTTAATTTATTTTGTATATGTATAAACGATTTTTCAACCATAAGGTGGAACTTTGAAGTACATTGAAATGTTATAAAGGTCAATTGCATTCCGTGTTTTCCCCTGCATAACAGTACAGATACAGAAAATAAGTAGTCACTTGCATTCGTTAGGGCTCGAGGCTTGTTAGAACTTAGCGTTTTTAAATGTTCTCTTTTATGTGCTAAAGAAAGAAAAGGGGGATAAAAAGGGCTCATTTTAACGCACGCGTGGTTAACTGTTTGGTGGGTGGCAAAAGGGCTAATAAAGTACCCCACACACACAGACACAAAAATCGGAGTTTCTGGAACGTTGCTCTTAGCCGCTAACAGTTGGAATTTTTGTCTTTCGGTGCAGAAACCTACTCCACCGCCATCGGGAACATCTTATAACCATCACCACCGTAGTCGATTGGACCGGCCATCGCCAGATCGATCCTCGCGCGAGGTCGAACCTTCACGCTCTTCTAAAAGGAAATCTGAGCACCACCTTGATCGCGATCGGGATCGTGATTACGACAACGATCGTGACCGTGATTTGGACCCTGACTATGGCCATCACCATCGCCATCACCCCTCGGAGTCCTCATCTAGGCGCTCCTCTGAGCCGGTGGCGAAGAACTCTTCTGCTGCTGCTGCGGCGGCGGCGGCGGCGGCGGCGGCAGCTGCAGATCGCAAGCACAAGGCCAGCGTCTTCTCTCGCATAAGCTTCCCAGAGGGCGAGGTAACCAAGAAGAGGAAGCTCGCCACGTCATCTTCTGCAGAACTAGCCAGTGGATCGACGACTTCGGCGCATCACAAGTCAGTATCGAATGGGTATTATGACGATTACAAATCGTCAGGGCCAGGGAAGGTCGTTTCGACTGGAAGTGGAAGGAGGAAGAGTGTGGACTACGAATCCAGCGATGACGAAAGGCATTTCAAACGGAAGCCGTCTAGGTACGAACCGTCTCCGCCCCCTCCGCCACAGGCAGATTGGGAGGATGAAGGGAGGCATAAGCGCAAGCACAAGTAGATTCGATTCAAACTCGCCATTACTGCTGGAACTCACAGGCAGGAATTTGAAGGCGAAGCGAGCAGCGGGAACTCGCCATTACTGCTGGGACCTGAAGGCTCAGCGAGCTGCGAGAGCGAGCAATCGTTCTCTTGGAAATGTCGATTGAATTGTAGAAACTGTAAAATATGTCTGCTTTATTTAACCAAAAAGGAAATGTTTCAACTCTTTAAATTTTTTATATAAGAATCTCATGTTCTTGTTAATTCAGCCCTTTCAATTCATGTTTTGTTGGACCTGTAATTTTTTTTTAACGTTTTTCAGCCAATTAATATTCTTTTAATGTCTTCTCAAATAATGTCGTTTCATACCAAGTTTCGTGAGGAAAATGTGATTTTAATTTTCATCGGACCAATTTATTGGACAGACAAATAATAGATTAGCTGTGTGGCATAAAGTTAAGTTTTTCCCCGTCAGTGTGAAGTATAAGATCATTGTTTTTAAAATCAGACTGAATATTAGATCGAAAAAGTTAGCGGTTCACAGTTCGCAAGATTCAATCGGTTGGACTATTGATTGGATCAATGGTCTAACCGGTGACATAATAATTAAATTAAAAAAAATTATATATGTATGTAATAATTTAAATATAAAAAATACATATGAAATTATTATTTAACTTAAAAAAATTAAATATTTTAAATTTATCATGATTTAACAAGCTATATAATACAATATAATATCAAATGATTAAAAAAATTAGCCATTTTTTTAAAAAATTTGATAAAAAAATTGTTTTTTTGAACAGTCCGTTTTTAAAAATCGGTTCCGGATCTCAACTTGATTTCGATTCTCGATCCGACTGTCGGTTCGAAATGGCTCAAACCGACTCAACTTTTAAAATGATTTTTTCCTTTGAATTAGACAGAAAACCAGACCGGTCGACAGTCCGACCGGCCGGTCCAGTCCGATTTTCAAAATAGTATATAAGACAATAAAATAATTTTTCCACAATGGTGAATAACTCTTTTTTTTATTTAAAAAAAAGTGCAACTTAGGAATTAAAGTTCCGAGTAATCCACATTCCAATTCACAAAGTGTTTTGTCATGAGATATTATTTAAATATTATATTTTAAATATTATATTTCAATTGAAATTAACTTTTTAAAAGTACCTTGTGAATATTGTTGAATCTAGATTTGGTAAAAATTATAAAGAGAAGCTTTTATAATATGTTTTTAAAATAAAATTCCTTTGATTTTTATATGATCATGTTACTCCAAAATTTTTAATGACTCTTCTATTTTTAATTTTTTTATATTTTTGTCACAAAAAATTCTTTATATTTTTACTCCTAGGATTATTTTTGTACAATTATTTTTATTTTATTATTAAAATTTTAAGTGAGACTTTTGATAGAAAAATAAATAGAGTTTGTAATTCAATTATAGACCATATTATACATTATTAACAACTAATTATGTTAATTTTTAATATTAATGTATGTTGAACTATTTATTATATAATTTTTTCAACATATCAAACTTTATATTTTTTTATTATTATTATTTAACATATCAAATTTTATGTTCTTCAAAATTTTTATCATATTTTTTAAATATTTTTATTACATTACGTTTGTATAAGAAAAATTACAAATCATCATAAATTAATATTTTTTTAGTAATTATATATTTAAAAGTATATTTCACTATATATAATTTAAAAAATTTTTAGTTTATTAAATTAACTTTTAAAAAAATATATCCAAATACAAATTTATTTTAACAACTAATTTTTACTTAATTAATTTTTACTAAATAAATTTTCAGCAAATGAATTTTTGATAAATTGAAAATCATACATACATTAAGAAGCTTGACCACTATTAAAATTTTATTTAAGCTTAGTTTATTTATTTAATGATTGCATAAAATAATGGGAGAATAATCTCAAAAATTATAAAAAAAATTAGAAAATTACTGAAAATGACTATAAAAATATCATTGAAGAGTACTCCCTTTTTATACATAAGAGAAACTATTACTTATTATTATTTTTATTTATAAATAAAATTAAATATCTCAATAAGTATTTGTTATAATTTTTTTGAATTATCTCTCATAAACTCATAATTTTCATTCACGACAAACAATTAATGCAGCTTTGTTTTGATTAAACACAAGGGTATTTTAATCTAGTTTTTTTTATTTCTAGACATAATTATTTTATTTAATTGATTTTTTTAAACTATATGATTCAATTTTTTTTATATTTACAAACAGATGGAGTATTACGAACTATTGAAGAGTGTTAAATTCGAATTCCTTTGAAAATTTTTCCTAAAAATTAATGAAGCAAGCAACTTTTTCAAAATAAAATTGTACATTTTTCCTTAAAAAACCATCAGGCTCTCAGGTTCATTAATTTTTTCCCCTGGAAATTTATTATTCTATTCTGAAAATTAACCAAGTATGTAAAATTTTCACAATAAGATGGTTCTTTTTTATGAAAAATCAAAGTCTGGTCAATTAGGATCTTGGGCTAATTTTTTTTTCCTGAAAACTTGTCATCTTATTATAAAAAATTAAAAAACTAGCTTTTACGCACGGGGAGACTTAATAACATGTTAATATAATATATTGTCTTTGTTCCAAAATGTCAATCGATGAATACTGATGTTGCACTTTTTTATTCACCAATAAAGTGTTTTTGTTAAATTTAAGAGTTAATGAGCATTTTGGATCTTGCTGTATTACTCGAAAAATGCTCTAAATCTGAATTATTAAAATTGTAAAATAAACTATAAACTTTTAAATTCATAGCAAATTAAATCAAATTATTAACTCACCATTAACGCTATTGCTATTCACTTAGTGGAACCCAATTAAAATGTTGACATGGTAATCTCTTGCTGATGTATCATTTTTAATGAGCACCATAAATTCTAAACCATTGCGTGAATGATATCCTAGACTTTGAACTTTGAAATTTAAAATAAATTATGCCCACTGTTTATGTATATAATACTAACTATTATGCCAAATTTGTAACATTCCAAAATTTAACTTAAGATTAATTAAGCCAATCAAGGATACATGAGTAATTTTAAAGGAATATTTAGACATACATAATTTTAGTTAGGAGATTATTATTTAGATTTAATTTAGATAAAATCCTAAGTTGTGATTTTTAGAAAATAAAATATTATTATTATTAGGCTAAAATGCAAACAAATCTCATATAACTCTCCTCGTCTTTAAAAGTTTAAAATTAACCTTCTAACCTTTAATTTTATTTTTTAAAATCCCTTATTGTTAATTATGTTATTTTTCATGAGGGTTAAAATGTTATTCAATTAAAAAATATTATTAAATAAAAATATTATATTGTATAACTATTTATAATACATTTTTTTATATTTTTTGAATAGTTCAGGCATTAATAACAAAAAAAATACTATTATTATTGTGTAAAATTTTCAATATTTATGTTTATATCAGTTTTATCTATGTTTTTTTTTGGTTATCAATAGTACATGATTTATTGTTTTAAAAGATAATTTTTTATTTATTTTTCATGTTACATTAATGCAATTCACATGGCTAAAATAAACACATTGCATTAATCTAACATGAAAAATAAATTAAAAATTATTTTTTAAAATAATAAAATCATACACTGTTAATAACAAAAAAGCATGGATACTAATATAAACATAAATATTTAAAATTTTATACAATAATAATAATATTTTTTTGTTATCAATGCTTTAATTATTCAAAAAATATAAAATTTATTATAAATAGTTATATAATATAATACTTTTGTTTGATAATATTTTTTAGTTGAATGATATTTTAACCCTCATAAAAAAATAATATAATTAATAATAGGAAATTTTAAAAAATAAAATTAAAAGTTAGGGAGTTAATTTTAAACTTTTAAAGGTGAGGAGAGTCATATGTAACTTTTTTAAAATTTAAAATTTTTTTATACATTTTAACCTCATCATCATCAAAGAAAAAGAATATAAAATAAGAAAATAAGAAGGGGGATGGGGGATGGAAATTTCGTGTGTGTGTGTGTGTGTTTGGTGTATTAAAAAAAATGATGAAAGAAAGAGAGTATGGGACTCATACTATTTTTTAAAAAAAACAAGCAGCACACTTCTTTCCTCCTCATTTCCCTTCCTTCTTGCTTCATTTCCTCATGCGCGACAAAGAGAAGGGAGAGCGTGACTTCGCTGGCGAATGTGGAGCTGGATTAAAAGGTGGAGCCTCATAATAAAATATTTTGAATAAGATTTTAAATATTTTAAAATTATTTTAAATATTTTTTTAATCATATTTTCTCTTTTGTTTCATATTTTTCAGATTATGCAAAATTTAAAATTTGAAATAGAGATAAACTTTTTATGAATAAATATGATTATTGAGATTGTTGATATTATAATAAATATTTTATAGTATTATTTTGTTAATAAAATTAGAATTTGAGGCCTTTGAATTAATCTATAGACTCTTATAATTAGATTTTTGGTAAATTTAAAATTATAAGTTGATTTATTAACTACTAGATGATTATTTGAGAGTAGAAATATATTATTAAAGTTATAAAATGATGATTCTAGGCTTTTGAAATAAAAAAAAATTTTGATATTAAAGAATTGTTTGAAGGATGATTTTAGCCAAACTTCAATGAAACTATTGTGATTGAATCAAGTAGATAAATTCAAATATATAAAAATTAAATTTTAAAACTCAAAAGGCTAAGACTAAAGTCTTAAAAAATGAAATGAACTGAAATAAAATAAATACCTAAGTGTTGGAATATAAGTGAAAATTATGTTAATAATATTATTAATACATTGTGATATGATTTAAATATAGATTAATTATTATTTGAAACCAATCAAGTTTTAAAAGTGTTATAATTTGAGAGGTAACTTTGGACCTCTTAAAGGTTGAGATAACTAAGAAAAATCTATTCTATGCATTTGTATATTAATTAATTATTTATGTTTGTGAAATAAAATGAATGTGTGTGTGTGTGTGTGTGTGTGTTTTTTTTTTAAATCTTGAAATTGTTGTTTGTAATACACATGTGGGTTTATTGAGATTCTATAATTTGTGACTAAATTAATTGTGACATGATTTGAGTAATGAGATTGAGGGTTAATAATGATGTGTATACTCTTGATTATAAATTATGAATTATGTATGGTGATGAGTTGTATATGAGCATGTTGAGTTTTTATATGATGCTAATATGATTTATGTGGTAATATAAAAATTGATGCATGAGACAGGATTGAAACATGATGATTCTTGATACTTGTTAAACAAGAAAGTTGATAAGGATGTGGGATAATTGTGAATTACATATATGAGAGTTATTGAAATTCATTTGCTTATGAGCATGATAATATGATGAGAGTTTGCCTTAGTGAAGGAGCTAGCAGTTGTACAAAATTCATATGATACTTAGCTATTAACCGATAATCCTAAGGGTTATAATCTCTTCTTACCTTGTAGGGTACTGTAGTATTATTCTTATTAAGGAACTTAACCCTACTATTCTACTTGAAGTTTTGGGTAGAGTTAATCTTGGGTATAACATTTCATAATGTGTGATTTAAGAAAAATCGCGTTTATAAATGAGTAAGGTAACTTTGGTTTGGTAGCCCCTCATGATATTATTAAGGCCTTGGGTAGTCTCATCACATGGACGACCCTTTCTAGTTGTTGGCCCATGAATTTCATGTCAGAAGAAATAAAGGGGATATAAGGAAGAAATTGATCATATATTTTATTATTATTATACCATTTGAGTAATTGATGATTATGTTTGAGACTATGATTGTAATTGCGAAAATAAAAATGTGTGGTAACTATGTGAACAATGTATATGTGGTCACTTGTGTCAATTTTATACGAACATTCAGTACTTGTGGGCAATCGTGCCAATTTTGTATTTGAGTTTATTTTTGAGATTATTCATATGAGTTAAATATTAATGTGATTAAAATGATCTTGATATGATTGTTTATATGGTCATCTTGATGAATTTATTAGCCGCTTATATTCATAATTAATTATTATGCATTTGTATAACTTAAATATACTTTGGTTACTAAGTAGTTATACTCACCTTTTTATTTTAACATATTACAGGAGCTAACTCATCTGGAAAGATTATAGGAAAGAAAAATTAGGCCAAGTGATAACAATCACTTCTGTAGGTTTTTCTCTTTTTATTTTGATATATGTATTTAGTTTATGATATTTTAACTAGAATAATATATTCTTGATCCACTTGCATTATGAGTTTTATGTTAGGTGAAAATATATTTTGGGTCCTTGGGAATGTGATTTAGTGCTTATGTTTATATTAGTGAGCCAAAATATTTGTACAAGTGAAAATAGTCATTATATGCATGGTTTAAGAATTGAAATATTATTATGGTCCCCCCTTGTGTTTGGATATCCATGGATGAGTAGTTGATATTGATCATATATAAATGAAAAGGAAAATCTATGCATATAATGAGTTATTGATGAATAGATAATATATAGAGTATGATGACTAGTTGATAATCATTGTGATAATGTGATTGAGACCTTGGCCCCCGTTGCCAATTATAAAAGAGTTTGAGTGGTTAAGTGTTATATTGGTGAATATATATTATGTAGAGTAAGGCACAAAGAAAAAAATAAGGGAAAAGTTTTTCTCCTATCTTGAGATGTGTTTTTTTAATCATGCTTTCGCATAAGTTTAATTGAATAATATGAGCTCTTAAAATATTTTAAAGATTTGAGATCCTTTTGTTTTAAATAGTTTGTGAAAATACATGTTAAGGATTTATTTATATTTAGGTTAGTCCTTGATTTTCCGTGGTTAGTGTGATAATTTAAGTTCTAATTTAGGACACCTTTTACAAAATTAGCCTCAACGTGGTTCGCAACGATAAACACATCAATGGTCGTAGCAAATAACTCATAATTTTGTGAAATGACATTCCTAACTTTCTTTTTTGTAATGTTTTCTAAATAATTGGTATATCATATTTCCTATATTTTATGACTCTAATTTAAGCTTATTTTGAATAATGTTTATTTATTTAATGGTAAAAATTTAGAATTTCATTTGAAAACTTGAAATTTCATTTAAAAAGAAGTTTAAGTATCAGAGGATTTTACAGACGATGGATGCAAAAGTCGATGATTTCATCAACGGATTTCAAACTCAAGTTAACTAGTTAATTAAAAATCTTGAACCCAACTTTTCATCATTAAATAAATAAATGTTATTTAAAATAAGACTAAATTAGAGTCATAGAGTATATGAAAGTATGAAATATCAATTATTTGGAAAACATTGCAAAAAAAAAAAAGGCACAAAAAGTCATTGCACAAAATTATGGATCGTTTGCTGCAACCAACGATGCATTTACTGCAGCAGACCACGTTGAGGCTAATTTAGCCTACATAATAGTCAATGCTTTACACATAAATGGTGAGGGTAATTTGTTTTAAATTTTAAAGTTCAGGGTCTAGGATGTTATTTGCGCAATAGTTTAGGGTTTGTGGTGTTAATTAAAAATGGCATATTAGCAAAGGATTACCACATTAACATTTTGATTGGGTTCCACTAAGTGAATGGTGACTGTATTAATAGTGAGTTAATGGTGGGGTTTAATTTGTTTGTGAATTTAAAAGTTTAAGGTTTATTTTGCACATCTTAAAAGTTCAGGGTCCGAGTGCTTTTCGTGCAATACTTTAGGATCCAGAATGCTCATTAACCCCAAATTCAATTATTAGGTCCTAAAATAATAGACTTGATTACTCAGCAGGAATAATATATGTTTATTTCTAAGGATATGATATTTTGGCAATCTGTATATATTCTTCAGTGATTATATATAATAATTGCTGTTAATATTCACTTAAAAATTGTCTACATATTTCTGTGTAATTATCTGGTAATAACCATTGCTGTGAATGAGGTAGGAAAAATATTCAGCAACAAATGGAACATTTATCCTCCATGGTTCCTTCTTGTCTCACCCTCTTCTCATTTCGGTGTTTTGATTTCTGAAACTCACATGGAGAAGAAAAAATTAAGTTCCCATGAATAAAAGCACTCCCTTGAAACAAAAAATAAATAAATTTCAAACAGAAATTGAAAGGAAAATGCACAACTGAAATCATATGGCTACAGTGGAACGATGATTGCTGGCAGTGACGCATTGAACGTCAAGATTGTTCTAGAAACTAATCAAGAAGCGAGAAATAGTAAAGCTAAGAAGAAAACTGACAAAGTAAACTTACAGAAGCAAGAGAGAGGGAGAGCAAAGAGATGGATGAGAGCATAATAGAAAATGTTACATTCTAAAAATTAAACATTGGATTAGTTAAGTTAACAAAAGTAAATAAATAATTTTTGGAGCAAAATTGTAATAAAGGATGGTTAGAGAGGACTAATAAAAATATTAAATTGTAGTTGCAGCTTGAGGATTGGGTAGGTTGGGCCATCTAGACTCTAAAAGAGAAACAAAAACTTAGCATGCACTTGTTGTACCATACGATGCATCGTTTTGAAAAAGAGAGGTCTCTCTTTATGCCATCCTCTATAGCGCATGCTACATGTGTTACAATGCATGGCTCATTTGCTACATAAGTCAAAGTGTGGCAATGTTCAAAAATTAAAAAATAAAAAAGACAACTCAAGCATTCATAAGTTTGGACTTATTTATGTCAATTTAAATAAGCTAGACTTTCTTAAATTATCAGTTTTATAAAAAATTAAGTATGGATGAAATATTTTATTTAGACTTTTGGAACTTTTGTCCAATTATGTCAGCCTTATGGGCCTTCTCCCAAAATTTTCTTGGAAGTAAAAAAAATCCTCTTGTGAAGAATTTGACTAAAAAATATTTTTTAATTTATTTTAATTCTAAACTCAATTTGTCTTTGAATGACTTGATTGATAATTAAAAATCTTTAGTCTAGAATTGACTCGGTGATTTTGTTTTAATTCATATGTGTAGGTAATTATTTTTAGGAGAATTATACCTAAGCCAAGCCTTCCTATTCTCTACAATACAATTAAATACTACAAGATTTATTAATAAGTGAAGATAACTCTTTTGAAATTTTTTTACATTCACATCAATTCAAATTCCAAACATCATACTTAAGTGATCATAGCTTCTGATCAATGACTCTTGACTTACATTTATAAGCAAAAAGAAATAAAAATAGAAATACAATTTTTTTGAAATATTACATTAGAAGATTTTGTGATCAATTTCCTTTATTTAACATTATAAAATATTTTTAATCAAATTATATTTTAAATAAACTAGTTTAATTATATTTAAAATTACACATTCGCTCTTGACATATTTGTTTCTATTTAATATGATATCTCAATAAAAACAAACCTTATTAATTACACCTCTAATTAAGAATAGTTTTGAAAAAAATTTATTAATTAAATTTAAAAAAATTCAAAATATTTTATATTTTTTAATATCTTATCTCAAAAATGGAAAAAAGTTGTTAATAAATTTTTCTGGAAATTAAAATTGTGCCGGATAAGTAAAGGATTAGGTACAAGCACCTTAAGAGAGACTTACAAATAAGTTTTCACAACAAAAATCAAAAAACAAACAAGAAAAAAGAAAAATGTTCTGCTAATTTTTTTTCAACATCAAGATGTCCAAACTTGACCTTGTGCAACAAGTTTCCGTCCTCGGCGGCCATGGGAGTCAACGTCAAGACGTCCAAAACTTGACCTTGTACAGCAAGTTTCCGTCTTCGGCGGCCATTCGTTCTCGTTGAACAAGAGATTCATGAATGCTTATGGGCATATAAGGGTTTTAGTAAATCTTCTCACCCTTCACCTCATCATCGAAAGTTGTTCTTATTTGGTCATTCATCGTCAAATATTCGCCCAGTTCTTTCCATTTTTTAAACGTTGATTGATTGGTTGTTTTCTGCATCACTTAAGATTTTCTCTGGCCGTCGCAAGGTCGTTTAGCGGTTCTCATCTAAACGTCGATTGTCATCTATCAGATCAAAGGCTCGCTCCAAGGTTCTATTCTCCTGGATCGGATTCTTGCTGCTTCTAATTTGAGAGATCTATTTCTGTTTTAAATCTTACCTGGGGTCGCTGACGATCTTGGTTCGCTGATTTGTACGTGGACGCTAGAGGGAGTTTAACTTGTTGCAGTCTTCTACAAAGAAGACGGCCTCGTTTCTGATTGCTCGCAAAGAATATAGGGGTGGTCATCGTTTTGGCGGTTTAACTCGTTCGATCCTATCTTGATTATCTGACCTGAGTCCAGAGGAGAAAAGAAGAAAGAAAATAGGAAAATAGCTTGAAATTGTACTGTTTGATTTTCTTTTTGGCTTTGGATTTTTGTACGAGGACCTTATTTTACCGAGGCCTTTGATTGTAATTGGTTTGTTATCTGCTCTTGTGTTGGTGTTATCCATTTCTTTGGATTGAAAGAAAAATATATCATGGCCGTGTATTATAAATTTAATAGTGAAAAAGATTTTGATTCAATTTCTTTGGGGGACTCTCCTTTTATCTCTGTTGCTAAATTGAAAGAAAAAATTTTTCAAGCTAAGCTATTATACAGGGGTAAAGATTGCTACCTTGTGGTCTCCAACGCCCAGACCAATGAAGGTTAGTTCTGAACTTTTTATTTCAATTTTATTGTCTTGAACGTGGACTTGGGGTTCAATGATTAATACGATTTTCTTAAAAAAAAATCCGGATATTTCCACGGTTGTACTAGTTTTATCCTCTTAGCTAGCTTTGTAATTTGGCTTTCAGGAGGGTGTTTCATAGTTAAATTTATTTCAAACTAAACTGAGAAAACTTCAGTATCCTCCTTAAACAAAAAGAAAAGGAAAATGACTCAGATAACAGACATGGATTGTTCTTTCGGATTTTTGGGATCAATTAGGCTGCAAACTACTAGTGGGAATTCCATACGTCCCAACTTTGATGGGTTCTAGTGTGCTTGATGTATTTTTTTGATTGCATGGGACTACTAAATATAGACAGTGGATGTATTTTGCTTGATGAACTAGATGTGGCCATGATCTATACCCACCATATCTTTTTTTAATTTCAGAATATCGTAGTTTATGTTACACACACACATGTTAGTATATATATCAGCCACTATAAATTGCTGCAACATATTGTTTACCAAGCAAAATACATAAAGCATGATCTGGTTATTTCTACGGTTGTACTAGTTTCATACCCTTAACTGCCTATATAGTATCGCTTTCAGGGGGTTGTTTCATAGTTAAAATTATTTCAAGCTGAAATGACAAAACTTTATTATCAGAATAACAGTAATGGACTTTTGGCTAGGATGTTCTAGATTAATTATGCTGCAGTCTACTAGTGAGAATTCCATGAGTCCAGCTTTGCAGTGTTCTATTGTGCTTTATGTTTTTTGCTTGACGAACAATACATCCCAGCAATTACATGGTTCTCTCCTATTGAAATTTCAGAATATCTTGATGAAGAAATGTTGATTCCTAAATACACCTCAGTGTTGATTCGTCGGGTTCCTGGATGGCTGTATGTAACGATAATTACTGAAAAAAAGTACTATCTCAAACCTAAAATCTCAATAACTGTTAGATTTTCCACCCCCTGATAGATCATTCATTTTTTATCCAAGTAGTTCATTACAGGTTCCAGAAACTTTCATACTATTGTAGCTCATACGATACTTGACACCAGCTAAATAAAATACTTGAATTTTACTTGAGTTTCTATTTGTTTTTCATTTTGCAGGCGAAAGGTGCAAAATACGGTGGCAGAAACTGAGGCAAAAACAATTGGCGTATCAGCTGTTGATACCTCTTCCATGAAATCTGAAAGCATATTCTTTTGTAATTGTATTTCCTTTACAAACATTTCTGCTGCATTTCTAAGGAAATTTTGTGTTTGCTTACAGTTTGAAGACTCAGAATGGGATGACTATGGTGATGAGTTGCATGCATTTCCCCGTGAATTACCTATTCAATCAAGCAACTTAATCCCAGAGGTTTCTCAAACAACAAATAAAGCTGATGAAGACAGTAAGATTAAGGCCTTAATTAATACCCCACAACTGAATTGGCATAGGTGAGTTTTCATCTTTCTTTGGTTTACAGAATCAACACTTCCACTTTTGTTATATTGTTGACATTTTTCTTTGGTTTGCAGACAAGGTCTTGATGGTTTCGGCCCCAGTAGAGGTCTTGGAAGGGGTTTGGGTGGATGGATGGCTGACGAACATGGTTTTGGTGATTCACTTGGCTTATTTTTAAAATTGAAAAAATTAATTATTTGGTACTTATAGTTTTTATTCAATTAAAACTTAATCCGAGAACTTTGACTCGATTGATACAATTCATTCTGTATAGTTTTGATTCGATTAAAACTCAGTTCTTAAATTTTAGCGCTTGTAACTCCGTCCTTGTAATATTATCTATTTAAAGTATTATGTCCCATATTTTGGAAATTAAAATTATAAAGTTATTATTAAAATTTAGAGACTAATGTTTCAAATGGCTAAAAGTATATGGATTGAGTTGCATTGAATTAAAATTCAAGGATTTAGTTATAACAAGTTAAAATTTAGAAGTTGAATTGTAATCAAGTCAAAAATATAGTGACCAAATGATTACCCACTGCTTTGAATAATGAGATATCCTTATTCTTGCTTGGCTTGAGCAGGTTTGCAGCAGAAAACACCTCCACCAGGTTATGTGTGTCACAGATGCCAAGTTTCTGGTATGTTATAAAAATAAAATGCTTTTATTTTACTGTGCAAAATGATGGATAGCAATGCCAATGTGCTCAGATACTTAATTTCCCTTGTTTAGGACATTTTATTCAGTACTGCCCTACAAATGGTGATCCAACCTATGAATTTATTAGAAGAGTAAAGCCACCCACTGGCACTTCAAGATCAATGCAAATATGGTGATGAAGAGTATGCTTGGATAACACTGCCCAAATCTCAGTTTGGATGTGGAAAACCTTTTTTTTTTTTTTTGTGAATAAAAAACCTCGTTTAAAAGAGGAGGAGTTATTTTTGGCTAACAAAAATTTTAAGAGCTTCTGTACCAAAACTTAGGCTAGGTTAAAAAAGAAAAGATTCTGATTTCTTGAAGGAGCTTTTGAACGGAAACCTAGGTTATCAATTCATATTATCTTTTTAGAATTTAATATTTTGTAATTTATCAATTTATTTTAGATTTTTAGAATTTACTAATAATACTTAATTATAAATAATTTTTTTATTTTTAAAATTGTAATTTAAAGTTTAATATTTTTTCTTAAAAAGTAAATCAAATTAGAAACAAAAATATTTATAATAAAATTCATGTCTTTTTTAGTCATTATAAATTTAAACTTGCTTTCGAATTCAATCACTTAAATAAATTTTTACTTGTCAAAAACGTTGAAACATAAATCACATTGAATTCATTGAATTGAATTTTGGATTTGTATTGCAGACTGTCAATGGAGACAACATTATATGGTGCCTATGGCTATGGCCCCTTCTCTTGGCTATATTCCGTACATGAATGGCATGCAAGCGGACATGGGAGTGATTTGTGGAGATCAAGTCTAACCTTTCTACACTCATCAATTAATGTTCATATAATGTGAATGTCTCCAGAGACATGCATGTTTGTTTCACTTTATCATAGGTTACATAAGCCCTAAATTTCAATCCTAGATCAAAGGCAATATTTGTGAAGAATCAACATTTTATTTTATTTGGAAAGCATGCCTTTGGGTATCTGTAAACGGTTTTTTCTAGGTTTATGTGAGATTTTGTTGTGTTTAAGTTGTGTTGTTATTTGTTGGTCAAACAAAAAAGTTGTGTTGTTATTTTTTTCTGAGTGTACTTGATTTTTTTGATATTAATAAAATTGACTCATTTTTGGCAAAAAAAAAAAAAATCCATCTAATTCTTTGATGATTATTTTAGTTATAAAATTTGGAATGTTAATGCTTAAAAGGCAGACAACATAGGTCCCCCATGCAATTGCCATTTAACTTTCCGACATAATTATTTGATATTCAATACTGCTACTTTTAAATATGGTTAAGTTTAATGGGAAGATACTCATATAATTTTTTTTATCAATATATTCAAATAATTGATACACAAAATCTGTTAAATTTATTTTGTTTTCGTTTGTTAAAAATGCTAAAATTAACTTTCAACCCCCACTATAATGTAGTTTTACATTTTGGCCCCATATATTTGGTTCTAGATATGTCCTGTGGTAAACTTAAGTTTGGATCTTGCTGATACTAATTAATGTTTTATTTTATTTTATTTTATTTATACATTACTTTTAATATATTTTATTAAAAATTTAAAATTTATTAACTCAGTTTAAACATATAATAAGTTCCCAACTTTTCTCAATTATGTATATATATATAAATATATATTAATAACATATTCTATCTCACTAATATTTACTAGAGAGAAAAAGGAAAACTTTTTATAAAATTGTAATAATATGACTTATAATTATTACAAAAAATTCTTCTTTCTCTTGTCTTTTAAGTAGGAATCATCAATATATATATATATATATATATAAATCTTGTAAAAGGTCATTGATTGATCAAAATCGCTTTGAGACTATTGGTCAATTAACTTTGGTTAAATTTTAATTCTCTTCATTCATTGATTCATTTTATTTGTCATGTATCTCATTATTAAATTTTAAATATAAAATTTAAGTTTTATGAGAGTGGTAACTTCATCCATCTCAACTTTTTCATTTATCTCACGTCTCTCAATATTTTTTAGTCTCTATCTTTAAGAATTCATGTATCTCATTATTAAATTTTAAATATAAAATTCAAGTTTTACGAGAGCAATAACTTTATCCGTCTCAACTTTTTTATGGAGTGCCAATGGCGTGGGCTTGAGTATCTGAGGAAATTTGTTGTATCTCTTAGCAAGCATCTTTGTTGTCACTCACTCTAAATGATAAAAAATTATCTTGTACTTCACTATCATAAAATGGAATAAAAATGTATTAATTTGTAGAACTTTTTCATATTGTTGATGAGTGTTTATCTATATTACTTGGCTATATTTATATTATTGCTTACAATTTTCTTGTATCAAACCTTAGCAATTTATAAAGATTAATTCTCTCACTTTTAAGTTATTAGACATATAATTATATACAATTTCAATGAAAAAACATTTGTGTTATAATTTTTCTAACAATATGCTATAAACATGAAATCAAAATAAGAAATATAATCATGTTTTATATATTTCAAATGTAAAAAAGTACATAATTCACATTTTTTACATCATTTAAAAAAATGAGAGGATATCTATCTAAAAGTTTTTGCGCCATAATCATATATATGATGGAATCATCAAAATTCAATCTTTCCAAACTATATTTATAATTTATTATAGGTTTGAGAAACAAGCAAGATGTATATAAACAAAATATTTAATAAAACAATAATTAAATAGAAAAACTTTTAAGAATTTAACAATATTAAATGTGTTAATTTAAATAATATCCAAAGTATTTGTTTTAAATTTTTTTAAATCCAACTCGTGCAACGCACGAGAAACTCTCTACCTAGAACCTAAAGGGAGCATCATACTGACATGTTTATTTCACTTACAAAATTGGTTACGAAATTTGGATCATTAATACTTACAAAATTTGATATTCAATGCTGCTAACTCAAATTTAAACTTTTTTTTTGGGAAAAAAACTCAAATTTAAATTTTTGCTCTTCCAATAGACATTGACATATTCAAATAATTGATCTTATTTATGGAGAATTAATCCCTTCCACATGATGCAATCTTTTAATTTTAGATTCACTAAATTTTTTTTCATTTTGTAAGCGTAACCAAAATAATTTTCTAACATATAAGTGAAAGTTATTCTGCAATAAATCAAAATGAGGGTTATTGAATAAAATTTTAGAAACGCCTTTTCACTTAAAAAACTTCAAATTTTTAGAGGTGATATTTTATATAATTATTAAAACTTCAATTTAAATTGTCATAATTATATGATGCCAAGATATTGTTGAATCTTCAAATCTTGCGAAATCTTCAATTTTCAGCTTGTCATTCCTCTCTAATCTTTTGGGCAGCTGACGGAAGATTTCCGCCTTTTAAGATATATAATATTTCTTTTATTTAAAAATATAAAATATTTTTAATTAAATTTTACTCTCTAATAAAATGGTTACATACTTTTCAATTAATTTTATTTTTTTATTTATCATTATTAAATATTCCATAATAAATATAAAGTCATTATCAATAGGGACACTTAAAAAAAAGACAATAATTATACTTCAAAAGATTAAAAATACCTTATATTTTTTAACATCCAACTCCTCAAAAAATACCTTACATTTTTGAACGAAGGGAGTATATTTCAGTTTCTTTAAGGTTATTTTTAGACACTATAATATATTTTTAATCCCCTAATTTTATTTAAAATTTTAATTTAATCCTTTAATTTTATAAAATACTTCAGTTTTCTAATCCTAATACTGATATTTTTAAATAATTATTTTCTATGCTAATCATTATTATATTAAGATAGTTAAATTAATATGTCAACATTTAAGAATGTTTTATTAATATTTAAAAATTTAATATAAAAATTATTTTTATGAAAATAATGACATTAGATTAACAGATTTAAAAGACACTTTATAAAATTAAGATATTAAAATAAAATCTTATATAAAATTGAAGAACTAAAGATATATTTTAGATTTATTTTAGAAAAGAGGCAAGATAACTGCCAAGTAATATAAAAATAAATCTAAAATTGTATATAAAAGTACAACGTAATTTATTTTTTGGTAGATAAATATAAATTAATTTTTTTGGTAATCAAATCTAAAGTAATTTAATTACAAAAACACTCATAAGCTAACAAGTAATAGACCCCCCGAAGATTTATCAGACCCTAATAAGTATAATGAGAACTACCCGGCCCAATCCAATTTCTTTCGGACTAAGGCCCAATTTAACTCCGGCCTATTTAGCATATGGATATCGTTGTCATCAAAACCCTAATTCTCATTTTGGAATTGGTTCGTCGCCGTTCACTTTGCTCCGATGGGTACGGCTTCCCTGGTCTGATCTTTTGTTTTACATTTTTGTTGGACCAATCTGTTGGTTGTGACTTGGGAATGCGAACGGCTGCTGATCTTCTGATTTTCTCTACTGCTTTGTTAATCCTTATTGATTTTGTCTCTGCTTGAGTGCGGCATATTTTATTTTTCTACTTCACTTGATTCACGCTTTTATTTTTGGCGGAGGCTTGAAGTGCTGCTGTTTGTTTCATTATTTCGTTTGGTTAAAAGTTCGCTCGTTTGCATTAATTTGACTTCTTTTTTTATATGGGATTTTCTGCATTGAATTTTGTTTTGTTGGATTTGTTATAGCATGCTGTATTTCGTTCGAGTTTTTCTTAACTTCGTTCAGGAGTTGATGTACTAGGATTTTACATTGCATTTGAGATAAAATCTATTTTTTAAAAAAAAAAATTATCCGGCAACATATTGCTGAGAAAACGTAGAAAATGAAAGTTTGTTTTGGAGATAGTATATCAGGAACGATGAAAATTTGGTACCTTTTTTCAAGAGTTGAGGGAATTATGGATTAGTATGCAATATCCAAGTCTTTCCATGACCTTGTTCTTGTTCTAACTAATCCGGAATCAAATATTATGAAAGATTAAAGATCTAATTTTGATTATTGTACGGAGATTACCAATAATTATGAAAATTTGATGAAATTTTCTAAATATATGTAATTAAATCAAAAGATATTACATTAAATCTGAAACCTAACAGAAAAAAATGTTTTCGAATATAAAAAATATTTGTTATAATAAGAGTGAGTTTATTTTCTCTGTTGTTTGTTCTGTTAAAAGATCTTCTCATCTTCTGCTCTAGCCATAACTACATTATGTATTATAGAATACATCAATAAACTGTTAAATTATTAATATATATATATATATATAATATAAAATTATCCCCATACATGCAAGGCCTTAGGAAGCCTAATTAATAGTACCCTCAGCGTTAAGAGGTAAAGAGCTGCCCCGTCTATACCCAGCCCAATCAATCTACAAGACCTCTTACTTCATCTATGGTTGTCTCAAAAACCCTAGAATCCTAACCCTCATTACAGAATCGAGCGTCGTGTTTTACCTAGCTCCTGATGGTTACGGCTTATTTCTCCTCCTGTTTCTTTTGTTTTATTTTCTTGTTGGATTAAGGCATTGGTTGTGAATCCCAAGGGATGCTGATCTTCCTCACTGCTTTGTTCATGGTTTTTATTTCATTTCTTGCTTGAGTGCAGCAATACTATTTTGTCTACTTGATTTTGTTCATGCTCTGATTACTTCTTATTGGATCAAAATGATTTTTTCTTATATATATAATGTAATTTCGCCAGCTAAACAACATTTCCTGATTACAATGCTCGCTTCCTCTTTTTCCCCCCTTATGATTCAATATGGTTATGTAGGGTTATAGCAATCTTCATTTGGTTGGAGTTGCTTCTCATGGCTTCTTTTTTCAGTTGATTTACTTGATTTTTTGTAGTTCTCGAGATGAATTCTTCTTATGAGTGCTTAAATAAAAATTTGTGCATGCACCTTGATGCTGAGAACTAGTAGATAGTGATGATTTGTTCTGGAGAGTATCAACAGCTATAACATTTTTACGTAATTTTACCATCCGCATGTAAACTATGTCAGCAACCTTCCATTGTCCATGTGACTAGGCCAAACCAATGAAATTCTGGTGGCTGGATTACCTTTTCTTTGATAGTTGACATAATGATGGATCAGTAAACAATGCCCAAGTCTTTCCTTGGCCTTGTGATGAATTCATATGAACTTTGTCCTTGGAAAGTTGATGTTTGATTATTAGGTTTGATTATTAGGTGACATAGGATATTATTATAAAGTTTGGTTGTTTTGTTAAAAAAAAAAATGCGGTGACTGGTGGAAGTCAAAGAAATGTAATACTTGATTTTTATTTTTATTTTTTTACTTTTTACTTTTGGTGGCTATAGGTGCCTACAAGTATGTCTCAGAGCTTTGGCGTAAGAAACAGTCAGATGTCATGAAATTCCTGCAGAGGGTGAGGTGCTGGGAGTATCGTCAGCAACCTTCCATTGTCCGTGTGACTAGGCCTACTCGTCCTGACAAGGCACGTCGCCTGGGTTACAAAGCTAAACAGGTAATAAACTGTCTGTTTGGTTGAAATGATTTATATTGTTTGTCTTATAAATTTTCCTGTCTTGTCTGATATCCATGTTAACATTGAGTTCAAATGTTGCACAGTGAGTGTTTGATTTGGTTACAAAACTAATCCCAACCAATTTATAGAAACAAAACCAACTTAAAGTCATCAAACCCTAAAGCAAGTTTTAGAATGAGAGAACCTTTTGACTGGGCCAAAGGTTCAGTTCAGTTTAAACAGAACTAAATCAGCATTGTAAATACGAGTATATGTTTGTAAATATTACAATTTTGTTTCCAGCATGGCATTTAGTGAATATCTTTATTCTCTTTTGCATATTCTAGACCCAAGGAAATACATTTATGAAATTTAATGAAGTAATTTCAACCTTCCTCTCGGGAAGCCCTCAGTATCCTTCAACTCTTGGGTTCTGTTTTTTTTTTTTTTGCTCCCTTGTATAATGTGAGCCTTCAGGATTTTCATGAAGCCATATGAATGTTGCCCAATGGAATGAGCTAATTTATGTAGGGTTTAATATGTATGATAAGGAGCTGGTTCAGCGGCACCTTGATGCAGATGCATTATTGCATATGTACAGTGATTGGATGTCTTCTGAGACCAGCTATAATGAAGCTAACAGTCAGATGATCTGACCAAGCAAATTGTCCTTCTATCAATTTTGCTTTTGTCTCCATCTGACACATCTTATTCTGTCATTTTAACAAAGTTTTCTATATTTCCCATTCCTGTATTTTTAAAAATATTTTGTTACGTAATAACTATGAATATGAATGGTGTTAAATCTCTATAGTTTTTAAGGCTTTTTGCTTCAATTTTATGATCTAGTAAGGTTTAATATTACAATACTTGCAGGGATATGTGATTTACCGTGTTCGAGTTCGGAGGGGTGGCAGAAAGAGACCAGTTCCCAAGGGTATTGTATATGGGAAGCCCACAAATCAAGGTGTCACCCAACTGAAATTTCAGAGGAGCAAGAGGTCAGTAGCTGAGGAGCGAGCTGGACGGAAGCTGGGGGGCCTCAGGGTCCTCAATTCTTACTGGGTGAACGAGGTTAGTGAATACTTGTTCTGAATTTGAAACTTGGTTCTTAACGACTCACCACTTGTTCTAACGGTACATTGCCGGTGCAGGACTCGACGTATAAATACTTCGAGATAATCCTGGTCGATGTTGCTCACAATGCTGTCAGAAATGACCCAAGGATCAACTGGTTGTGCAATCCTGTCCACAAACACAGGGAACTGCGTGGCCTCACTTCTGCTGGCAAGAAATACAGAGGCCTCCGTGGCAGAGGGCATCTCTACCACAAAGCTCGACCATCCCGCAGGGCTACCTGGAAGAGAAACAATACTCTTTCCCTTCGTCGCTATCGCTGATCTCACTATAACTACTTTGCATCTTCATTTTTCTGAATTTGTCATTTATAAGTTGGAAATTCTATTTGCTTGAAATGTGTTGTAGTATTGGCGAAATATACTTCACTAGGGAATTTCTAAGATACCGGTTCTTTTCCAGATCGCTTGGTATCATGGGTGGGTTTGTTATTTTTCAATGATTGCTGGGAGCTAGAAAATTTTTGTTCTTTCAATGAAAGCTAATCATCCATATGTTATCTCCCACATTTATTTCTTAGCTAAAAATTGAAATATTAAAGAAGGCTATGTAATATTTTTTGTCAGCATGATGGCATGGTCAAAATTTTTATCTAGGCAATTCCTTCGTTGTTACATCCTTTTATATAAAATAATAATAATAGTGATTAATGAAATAGTGCCAAATAAGTGATTTGTATTATATTCTGAAGTGAAAGAAGGAAGAAAAAAAATAGAGTCAAAATTTATTGTAAAATTAAGAAACACGTGTTTTGAATAGCACAAAATAGTACTTTTTTTATTTTAAATTATAAAATATTTTTTAAATAAAATTTTATATATCAATAAAACTTATTAAATATATTTTATAATTTTATTTTTAAAAAAATATAAATTTTTAAAATATCTTTCATTTAATATTTTATTAATAAAAGAATATTGAAGAAGGAATATATAGAAAAAGTAATATTAAAAAAGTATAATTAATGAAATTTTATTTTTTTTAAGTGTCTTTATATTTTGAAATGTTGAATTTTTTTAAAAAAATATCTTATAATTTAATATAGAGGGAGTATATCTTTATTGTTTATGCATGATGCTTTTTATTTATTTATTTATTGAATAAAAACTGAAGCTTCGTTCCAATCAAGGAGTTACAACAACCTAGTGAAAACGAAGATAAAACCAATCACTACAAGGAAACAAGTACATCATTCATCATACTCCATGTATAAGCAAAGATGGAATATGATCAAAGATCCAAAAAGCATTCACTAAAGTACGACCGAACCTAACTGATCTATCAGCGAAAGTATTAGTCTCTGTACTGTGGAGAACATTTATAATTATGAAGTATTTTCAGTCACAATAATTTACTGTGGAGAACATTTATAATCACGAGAATGTGGTAGATTTTTTAAGTATTGAATGATGTTAAGATTGACATGAAAATAGTTTTCTTTTCTTTTTTTCTCATTGAAGATATCTTAAACTCAACGAGCTGTGAAATTGATTACATGCATTGTAGGGTTTTACTGTGTTTAATAATATTTCACCTATTATAGTGTTTTGAGAACTAGATTTCTTTTTTGATTGCCCATTCAGTTTCTAGAGCTTCGCCTTGACTAATCCGAATTCCACCTGAGTCCTGCACGTAGCTATATGGTGGGGGAGTATCTTAGCAAAAATTTTTAACATACACCATATTCGAACTAGGAATCATGCTTAAGTAAAATTGAATCACTTATCACTTGGACAAAACCCCATTGGTTGGACTTGAATAGTTAAAATGCTATTTCATATTTCATATTTCATATAAGAGTGGCATAGTTCAACTCATTAATCCATTTTAAAGATTGGCCCGTTTTGACCCTGATAGTTTTGACTGATCGAAATTAACTTGGAATTGGCATTATATAAATGAAAGTAAAAGGATAATTGAAATCTTATTTGTTTTAGCTTTTAAAAGAACAAAGAAGGTAAATATATACTTTCTTCGTTTAAAAATATAAGAAATTTTTAATTAAATCTCATCTTTAATAAAGTAGTTACTTACTTTCAAACTAACCCTGTCTTTTTATATTTATCCCTATTAAACACCCTATAATAAATATAAAGTCATTATCAATAGGGGCACTTTTGAAAAAAATAATTATACCTCAAAAGATTAAAAATGCCTTACATTTTTAAACATTTAACTCCTCAAAAAATGCCTTATATTTTTTAATAGAGTATATATATATATATATGAAAAATGAGAAAAATAAAATTTAATATGTCATGACTTAATAATATTCAATTGAGAATAATATTGTTAGTATTTTTAATATTTAATTATATACTTCCTCTATCTTTATATATAAGATGTTTTTAATTAAATTTAGCACATCAATAAATATTTATTATTTATTTAGTTGAAATCTCATAAAATTACAATAATTTTTCAGTTTTACTTTTAAAAATGTCACAGTTAATATCATCATGGTGGTGGTGGGTGAAGCGCATAATTAATACCCTCTCTATTAAAAAATATAAGACATTTTTAATTGAATTTTACTTTTCAATAAAGTAATTACTTACTTTCAAACTAACCCTATTTTTTCATATTAACCCCTATTAAATACCCTATAATAAACATAAAGTTATTATCAATAGGGGCACTTTTGAAAAAAAGGCAATGATTACATCTTAAATGACTAAAAATATCTTACATTTTTAAACATCCAATTCCTCAAAAATGTCTTACATTTTTAAATGGATAAAGTATCTCTTTCCTTTTTTAAGATGAGAGTAAAATTATTTAATTATTCAAAAATATCATGACATTTTTTATATTTAAGGATAAAATAAATATATAAAAACACCATATATAAATAGGGATAGAAGGGGTGTGTGTGTATGTGTGCACGGGTGCGTGTAAATATTAATTTTTAATATTGTGTCACAAGTTCAACCATCAACTAATTAGTTAAATTATGAGAATTATGATCCATTGAGCTTTCTAATTCATTGTCTGGGATTTTTAAAATATTGGTCTGTTGTCTAATTTTTTTTCCTTTTCGCCAAATATTGTTCATCTTTCGAATGACCTTCAGCTATAAGTGCAACATGTAATATTGAAGGTAAAGAAAAAACTACAATATATATAATAATACAGACTCCTATGGATAAATTTTAAAATAAAAAATAATTATATAAATATTAAAATGAGTGCAACCTCAAGAAGCCTAATGAAAAGTAGAGGTATTTAGTTTGTACCTGTTTTGATTAGTTTGATTTCATTCCGATCATATCGAGAGGGTCTCATCTTGACCTGAAAATAATAGAGGTAGGACTTTTTGGGACGAGACAAGAAAGTTGTTTGGGATAGGACGGGATACAGGATTACTCTTGAAACGTCCTGTTGCGTCCTAAATATTATGTTTTTTTTATATATATATATATATATTATTTTTTATTTCAAAAATATACATTAAATACATTAAATATATTAATACAATTTATACTTATATTAATTATATTAATTATAATTTCAATACATGTAATTCTTATTTAAAATTAAAAATTTTTATATTGATAAGTTTCATAACAAAGTAAACAGGACGATATGTTTCTTTATAATATGTTAATTATATTAATACAATTTATTTCTATATCTGTATATTTAATGACTTTTATTTATATTATATTTTTTGCTCTATTTTTAAAAGAGTAATTAGCTTAATACATCTTAACTAAAGTAGAAGAACAATAATTTGATATTGTATTTGGCTCGCCTGTTATTGTTGCTGTTATAATTTAGAGATCACTTGTTACTACTATTATAATGTGTTATATACTTGTAATTGTGATTGATATAATTCAATAATTAACTTTAAATTATTGTGATTTATAGACTTATGTTGTTTTGATTTTAACTTAATGAATTATATGATTAAAATTTTAATAAATATTATTATCCAAATTTTTTTTCAATATTGTTTGATTTATTGGGATGGTGGGACATTTCAATTTTGTCTTGGTCCCATCCTAATTTCTAATGAAATGAAATAACTTTTAGGATGAGATGAGATATAAGACAAAAATTTAAACTTAATTTTTTTTTAAATAAAACACAGGGTAGGAATGTTTCGATCCGCCATATAAACACCCCTGATGAAAAGTACCACACTCGTAAGGCATCACGAGACGTAGCAAATAGAGGGTCCAATTTGGATGTGGTCATCGTTATGATGCTGGATCATTCAATTTTTATTTAATATTTACTAAAATGAAAATTTATAAATTTATAAATTTTTTTAGTAAATATTTTATCATAAAGTAAGACAGTATAAATTTAATTTAAATAATTTAATTTAATATTAAAATTTTATATATTAACTATTTACATGTGCTCTGCAGAATCTATTTTTAATATTATAATTTTTATAAAATGTTATTTAAAAATTAAAATATATAATCTTCTAAATGGATTTTTTAAAAAAATTACTAGTTAAAAATTTTGTAAAATACATCTGAATAATCACTATATAAAAATATAAAATTAAACCCTACAAATTAAATATGAACCCTATTAGATATAAAAATATTTTTTAAAATTTTTATTTTAAACATATAAAATTAATTTTTTAAATATGGAACATGAGATTTGAGATTTCTTCACATGATGAGCAGCGAAGAGAAATCCCCATGTCCGCCCGGCCCAATCTATCTCCACGACTGCTATTTATTTAACGTACGGTTGTCCCAAAGCCCTAACTCTACTGGATTATTGAGCGGCGGCGTCGTCGGGGTTCACCTTGCTTCGATGGGTATGGCCTGCTTCTGTTGCGCTTTTGTTTTTATTTATTTTTCTTGGATCAATCCATTGATGTGAAGGCGAAGAAAAGCTGATCTTCTTTACTCCTTTTGTTCTTGGATATAGGTGCCTACAAGTATGTATCGGAGCTTTGGCGCAAGAAACAGTCTGATGTCATGAAGTTCTTGCAGAGGGTGAGGTGCTGGGAGTATCGGCAGCAACCTTCCATTGTTCGTGTGACAAGGCCTACTCGTCCTGACAAGGCACGTCGCTTGGGCTACAAAGCTAAGCAGGTAATGAACAGTCTACTTTGTGAAAATGATTTGCAATGTCTTATTGTCTGGTGCCTTTTTCGAATGAGTATCCGGTTCATACATTACACAAGGAGGGTGCACACTAAAATTGGTGAAAAATCTAAAATAAAATTGTCGAAATCGGCTTGTAGGATGTGTTAAGCTATTTGTTTGATTTGGCTTTTAGGATGTGTGCTGCAATTGAATGCAGTGTTAATTTTCTTGTGGCAACCCCTTGATTGCGAGTTTTTAGGAGTAAATTAGATGTTTCCAAATTCCCATCCGTTATCCGAGGAGTGTTGTGTTCTCTGTGCTGTAAGCCCTCAGGTTCTCATGAAACCCTATAAATGTTGCACAATTGGGGTATATCTGGATAAGATGCTGGTTCAGCAGCGATTCATTGCATATGTATAATGATTGGCCATTTCCTGAGACCAGCGATATTCAAGCTAACCGTCAGATCATCTGACCAAGTGAATTGTCCTCTTATCAATTTTTCTTTTGTCTCGATCTGACACATCTTATTCTGTCATTTTAATCAAGTGTGTTTTACCTGTATTCAAGGATTATTTAATTCTGTGTTTTGTTTACTTTTTTTGGGGAAAAAAAAAGGAAATCATTTTCTTCTGCACTCTGTGCTTCAATTGTATGTTCTAGTAATGCTTAAGATTACAATATTTGCAGGGTTATGTGATTTACCGTGTTCGTGTTCGGAGGGGTGGCCGGAAGAGACCAGTTCCCAAAGGTATTGTATATGGGAAGCCCACAAATCAAGGTGTCACCCAACTGAAATTTCAGAGGAGCAAGAGGTCAGTAGCTGAGGAGCGAGCTGGACGGAAGCTGGGGGGCCTCAGGGTCCTCAATTCTTACTGGGTGAACGAGGTTAGTGAATACTTGTTCTGAATTTGAAACTTGGTTCTTAACGACTCACCACTTGTTCTAACGGTACATTGCCGGTGCAGGACTCGACGTATAAATACTTCGAGATCATCCTGGTCGATGTTGCTCACAATGCTGTCAGAAATGACCCAAGGATCAACTGGTTGTGCAATCCTGTCCACAAACACAGGGAACTGCGTGGCCTCACTTCTGCTGGCAAGAAATACAGAGGCCTCCGTGGCAGAGGACACCTCTATCATAAAGCTCGACCATCCCGCAGGGCTACCTGGAAGAGGAACAATACTCTTTCCCTGCGTCGCTACCGATGATCTTGCTAGAGTTAGTTTGGGGCTTCATTTTTCCGAATATATTGTTGGGTACATGGTAGTTTTTTATGAATTGAAATTTTCCTGCACGAATCGTTTAGTATAAAATCTAACTAATTAATGAGTGCCAAAGATCAAAGGTCCCTTGGGATTAATTCCATAATTTTTTTTCCAGTAATATTTACTGGAAAATATATTGCTGTATATATGTATATATATATTTACTCCGTCTGTTGGGACGGCTAGGTTTGTGCAAGAAGTAATTGGCAGGTTATCATTGTGTTAAGGAACGAATCCCCTCATTTGTTAGATTCATAGTGAGGATAGTTCGATTGGTGAGTCGTGACTGTTTCCTTCTCCGTTCCCTTTGTTTGGCGGGGGAAAATTCGTTATGATCAACTTCACTTATATTGGGCTCGAACATTTATTTTGGGTTATGTTAATGATGTTTGGTTATTCCATGCAGAATTTCAAAATTGCATTTACAATGCCGATCTTACAAACTGATATGTTCGGCTGGACTCTTCGAAATGTATTTTCGGCAGCCAAACTAGCATATAGCATTAGTAAAAATTGCGTTTTAACGGAAACGAAAAATCACGTGTTTGGTTTCTAAACAGTAAAAGATTCGCATCTTCAACTGATTTATTTTTACAGCAAGTGTGTTTGGCTCGTAATTTGACCAGGGTTCATTTGTCACAAGTCTACATGTCAAAAGTTAGTTTAATAGAAGTTAATTATAATATGGGAAGGGAGGATTGTATGTGAAAGATGATGGTATGGGAAGAAGAGGTTGCCACGTGACTATTGTGTACATCTCTCAAAAGCCGAAAGCAACTCACAGTAGTTTCTTCAAATGAATATTTGAGCCATAAATCCGAAGTTCCCAACGAAAACTAGCCTTACATTCCATTGAATTACCAAGGTAGCTTGCAGTTGAACCAAAGGAGCATTAGATTTCACTTTTCCCGGATCAAAATTAACCAAAACAATGATATTCCTGACCAGTTTAACGCCATTTGAGTTACACAACAACTTCAATAATCTGCAAAAATCTGGCCTAGTTAAGAGTACAAATCTTTTCCTGAAATTTTAAGTCACGGAAGTCCGTGTGTAAAAGTGGGACTCATTTTTAATTTTTTTATTCAGTCCCCCCCCCCCCAAAAAAAAAAAAAAATTCCTTCGTTCCTCAATCAGTCAATTACGTTGAGTATCTTTCTAAATATTATTTGAAGCAATCAACCAAGCCAAGAACAATTAAACAACTCAATCAATTCATTTGATTCATAAACCCAGAATCCAATCCTCAATAATTGACTCTCAAACCCAAAAACTAGGCAAGCACATCAATAAACTCCTCCATGGACGACAGAGAGGATCTGAGGTCCGAGGAGCAGGAGTGGGAGAGTGATAGACCAAGAGATAAACAAAAACCAGTGCGATAACCCAAGAGGAATTAGAGCGATAAATTTGGAACTTGATAAATCAGAACTAAAAATCAGTGATACATCACAGCAATAACTCCACAAGTATAAAAAGTGCAAAGGACAACAATAGAGTGATAAATCAAAACTAGATCAATCTTAGCTATTAAAACCATTGAACCTGTGCTGTCGTCGATCAATGAAGAATCTCCATTCTCCTTCGTCTTCAAGCGAAGACGAATTTGAAACTCCTTTCGATTCCCTTAATTCGGACAGTGGATTTGCGAGACTGCTCAAATCCTTGTCAATTGTCACAGATTATGCGTATCGAGTCCCAAGCATGATGCAGAAGCCCAGAGCGACAAATCTAGAACTCAAACAGTGGATTTGCCAAACCCTTCAACTCCTTTCGTCAGAGTTCTGCAAAATTGATTGAGTCTTGGTCATGGTGGAGAAACCCAGAGCAATCAATCTACAACTGGTCGGAGAAAAGGCTTTACCCTTCCTCAAATCTTGCATCTCTCACAGATCAGTTCTTCACAGTGGGTTTTCCAAGTTCTTCGCCAAATCCCTTCTCTTCCCAACCATTTATGGACGCTCCATTCTCAATCAGCCTCTGTATGGTCCTCACCTCCCCTTTTCTCAATTGGGTCTCCGAAAAAAATTTGAGATTTGTACTTTAACTTAATATAGACCATGATTTGAATTGTCTAAGCACATAGATTTTATGGAGAGTGCACCAAAACATATTGCTCTGGTATAATCACATGAACAGAATATTTGGGAAGACGGTTCTTCCTCAAATTTTCCCAGATATGTTGCATATAATTTTTTTCCACTCTACTATTTTCAATTTACAGAGAACAAATGACGGGAAATAAAGGAGGCTAATAGCTTTTTTTTTTTTTGGGGGGGGGGGGTGTAATAGACCTGTACATTTCTTATGTTGTAGCCAGCCACCAAGGGCCTCCCCATAAAACGACAATAAGGTTAGAAGGGTCAGAGACAAGAGTATTCACCATTCTCATAATTAAAGCTCATCCATAACTTCCTTTATAGTAACAAATCGGCCAAACTCAATGGAAAGCTGCGCTGCAACTCCCATGGCAACAGATATCAGTCCATCTTCGAGATCTACTGCTGGAGCTTTTTGACCTTCAGTCCTAATTGCACTCAAGAAGTTCAGGTGTTCCAGATAACTAGACCCATGGTGCAATCCATCATACCTAAAGGGACAAGAACATTACAGCCAATTATTATTTGATTTATTTTTTTTAGAATAAACGTGGACATATATATATATATATATATAGCTAACCATAGAGGTACAACAAGAAGAGACTAACAAACAGTTTAAATGACTCTAGATACCATTTCATCATTCGCCACTTTATAGCAACAAAGTAGAGGATGATCAAAGACCCAAATTACAAGGTAATTTCAGGCAAGATTATGCCTACAAATAAAGCTCAATGATGACACTTTACAGCCTTATTTTTTCAAAACAAAAATATAAAACTTCAAAAAATGATTTTAATCATTACACTACAATCAATTCAATTCTCTCTCTCCATTTGAAGGGTAGTATTAGAAAAGTATTATTAATGAAATCTAATGTTTGTCAAATTGTCTCATATTTTGGGACAATAAAATATTTCTAAATCTGTCTTATAATTCGGGATGGAAGAAATATATGTTAAGGTGATGATATATTTATAACACCCACCTTATCCTGTGATCCTCAGCTTTCAATGTTTGAACACCATCTCGCCCAGCCTCTCTTGTACCGAACCGAACGATACTCTCAGGAACAAGGGCCTCCCCCTGTTTTGAAGATCGCAAACCAAAGAATGTATCTTCAACTTCCAAGAATTAATGATAGATCCTGTCTTTCAAATAACAAACTGCAACAAAATTTATCAACCTCAATCACGTCTCTAGTACTTGAGTAGTTATCTAGAGTCTGTTTTTTCCCCTTACCTTTCCGACGTCACCCACTACAGATATTTCTTGCTCGTTTTTACTCCCTTCAGCAAACATACAGAGATCAAGCATCCCTCGAGAACCATTGGCAAATTCAACTATAACATATGCATTGTCAATAATATCCGGCACCTGCCCAAAGCAAAATTTTGAATACCAGACAGTATAGAACAACAATGATTAGAGAACCCATGGCAATTACAGATTTTATACAGAAACATGCACCTCTTCCACTGAATATCAACCAAGAAACAGTTTCCTTATTTCAGAATATATTTGGAATAGAATAGACCATAATCTTACATAGCTAAAAGTCATAATCAGCAAGTCAAAAAACTACATTACACTGAAACCTGGGACTGATGATTACACAGGATATCTATGTATATATATATATTTGCCAAACCACAACATATAAATCTGATGGCATTCGTAATCAGTTCAAGCAAAATGATATTCAGTCTCAGCAAAGGACTCAAATAAACCACTACAAAGATTGGTGATTAAGAAGTGGTATTATTGTAACTAAAATTGCTGTATCTAAATTACCTTCCCATCATATACTTCATCCTTGTGATTAACATCAATTGCTCCAGAAGCCATCACACGAACAGGATTTGCACCAGCAAACAGCCTCATCAGATCAAAAAAGTGGCAGCATTTTTCTACCAAAGTGCCCCCTGAGTTCATATTGAATCGATTCCAATTGTTCACCTGGGACATTGATCACTATTTCGGCTTAGTTGCTTCTAGAACCCAAACATATGAATTAAAGTTGTATATTTTGACCTTAACCAAGAAAGGAAACCGGTGCTCCCTGATTGCTACCATTCTGACCCGTCCAACACTTCCTCCCTTGACTATTTCTATCAGTTTTGCAACAGGTGGCATGTATCTATATTCCAGTCCAACTTGTACTAAGATATCTGGTCTCTTTCTAGCAGCATCAACAACCTGATTTAAAAGAAAAAAATAAAATAGAATGCAAGCCATTAGTGGAATACAAAAATATGCAACAAATACATAATTACTGCATCCTAATTTAGAATTATAATAATCAACAGACAAATACGTAATGTTATGTCCCTAGATCCTGCTTGTTGACTAAAGGGAAGGAGATAGAAAAATTTGTGCTATCTTCACCTTTTTAATTATATTAATGTCATGCTGATGTCCTCCTACTCAAGTTTAGCTTTTGCTCAATTTAAACCTATCCTAAAAGATATCACCAGGATCTCTGGCAGCTATTCATTCACAACAAGAAAAACAGTATCTGCCTAGCATTTTTAGCCAAAACGAACTTTGACCCTACTATAACTCAGGCTTCACAAAACAACTTTTAAGGCAATGCCAAAATATAGTTGACATCTCATTGTTGATTTAAAGCACTGAAATGAAGGTGTGACAACAAAATATTTTCTTGGAAGGCGTTTCTTTTGTACTCATTGCAAAGTGATACTAATACAGTAAGCACTAAGTAGACACATTTCCACGTAATGGATACAGACCTCTTTGCAATGCAAGACAGTGGTGCACAATGGCTTTTCTACCAGAACGTGATGTGCTTTGGGATGATTGATGATGTCCATTAAGATTCTGTAATGGGTCATGTTTGGAGTTGATATCACCAAAACGTCACAGAGTGCACTGTCTAACAGCTCCTGGTGCCCTTCGAAAACCTTCCAAATTTACAAGATGAAACACCTTCAAATGCAGTACAAGCAAAAGAAGAACAATTTAAAACGCTTGTCCTAATAATTGTAAATTGATATCAACATATAATATAAAATTTATACGTACCACTCATTAATCATACTCCATACAATTATAATCTTAGCTCGCAAATATTATACGCCCCGCGGAATTTGAAATAAGCAAACTTATGATTGCATAACTACCAATGAAACTACAAATAATCATTGCAACACTCCAATCAAACTATATGAACACCGATAAGAATATTACTAGAAGGAAATGAAATTAAAAAAAGAAAAATCGATGATGGGAAAAGTGAATAATCTTACTTTGAGAGGCCAATTAAAGGACTGAGCTAAATCCAGGGCGTGCTGTTGGGAAGTAACGTGAGGATCGACTATGGCGACAACGACGATGCCTTCGGTGCGAAGATGGTACAAATTGATGAGATGCTCTCTGCCCATCATTCCAACCCCTATGATGCCGTACTTCACCGTACTAGTTTTGTGATCCACAGAATCCATGGATTCTAATTTTGAACCTCAGCACTTCAGCGGCTTCAGCCTTCAGCCCCGTTATCGTTATCTTACTCAGGAGTCAGGGCTCAAGACTCAGGAGAGACATCACGGCATCGTGCTTTTGATTCTTGTTTGTCACCAAAAAAAAAAAAAAAAAGGAAAGAAGAAAAGAAAAGAAAAGCAAAAGAAAAAAAAAAGAAGGTGAATTATTGTAATGATGAGGATACACTAGATTAAACGTGCATTCTTTCACATATTTTAATATTTAGTCGCTCTCCTTTGTAGTATTTAATTCTTATTAAACTTTTAAAATTTCATTCTGTTTGTAGTGTGTGCGCATGCCGAAGGAGCTTGTCCTCAAAAAGTTGATTCACTTGACTGCCGTAATAAATGAGTTTTAGGATTCTTTGCTACAATTTTTTTGAGTTCAAGTGCTTAAAAGTAAAAAAAATAAAAAAAATAAAGATAAAGAAAAATGCAAGACTTGCATGATAAAAGTAGAAATGATATTAACAATAATAAAAGATAAATTATATGAAATAAAAGATAGAAAATTAAAAGAAAAAGCATTAGCACATTGTTATTATTGTTTTATTAAGAGTTGGTGCTTTATTTGCTCACCAGAAAACTCACTACTCTTTACTGAATGCATGGTGCATTTACAACGCTATGTTGAATTTGCTAAAAGATAAAAAGAATCATGCTAGAAAAACTTAAAGTGACACAAGGTCAAGGTTTGAGTTTTGTATTGGATGAGTAGATTTTAGGGTTGAGTTGTTGAAGTGTTCAAAGAGATTATGTTGATCACATATGTGTATGGTGGCTTCCTTTTTATACGTACAAAGTGACAATTATCCCTTGGATCCATGCTCAACTTTTTTAGGGTCACTAATTACAGTTTTCTCCTAAATTTCATTTACTCTTTGGCATTTTTCAAGTGGGGCGCTTGTTCTTCTTTTTAACAAGTAACCATCTATCTTTTAAAAAATTTATGTGAGGTTGGGCTAAAATTATTTTTTTTAGCCCAAATAGTTGGGCTTGAGGTAAACATCACATTTTAACCTAAACAATTGACTCCCGCATATAGATTTGGTTGAGTTTGTCGTTGGCCAAGTTTATATGGATATTTGAATTGTTTTATCCTCTACGCATTCCTGACATATGGAATGTGGAACTTGGGGAGCCATGTAATATTTATCTTGATATTACTAATGTTCACCACACAATTATAACATACAATGGTAATTAGTTGTCATCAATCCCTCCTAAACTTAATGTAATTACAAAAGGGTTAGATCAAGTAAAATGTTAAAATACATTTAAAATATTTAGGATCTCAAAAATCCTTCAAATAAATAGTATGAGCTCAAACTTATTGATATTTAAAATTATGGGAATTATGGTAGACAAAAACAAGCAAAACATGGCAAAATAAGGTTAAAAAAAATGTCATTTTGACACATTCTAGTACATATGCCACGACCCATGGTCCATGCGCCGTGGCATGTGTCATAAAGAGGGCAATTTAGCCTCTGCTCCATGTACCATGGTGCACATGCCTTCGGACATACACCATTTTTGCATTTGATATTTGACTAGAGTGATTTAAATGTCTATGTAAAATTTATTTGATAAGCTAACTAATAGTACAAGTTTTGTTCTAATCCGATACCATATGAAAATTTTAGACATTTGAATGCCTTAAGTGAGATTTTAAAATGATTCTCAAGCATCCAAGTATTAAAAACTTAAAACTTATACCATTAACCTATCTTAAAGTTTAAACCAAGTCCAATGGATCGTTACACACTTGATTAAATAGTAAAACAACCAATAACACATGAGAACTAATATTTGGCCACTCTTGCTTAAGGCTAAATATATGCAACCTATAACATACAATCTTCATTATTATACACAAACACTAATAGCTCACACTTATATATGTATTTTAGCCTTTGTTGCAAGTGTCATAACAAAATTCTCTCTAGACTAAAATGCCCTAAATCTACACTTATTCATGCATTCATATCACCCCTCACATGACAAACAAATCACCACATCTTGTAATTATAATAAAAAATTAGCCTTTATCATAGGTGATGTAACAAATATACACTCTAAGTTAATTTTACTTCATATTCTCATATAACTACAAGTGCAAAACCCAATTTCACTGCACTCATTCAATACACTTGCATGTCACAACATACAACTCAACAAGAGTATCAAAATGTATCACACATGTATAACTCAAATACATAAATTTCCAGTTGGCAACCTTAACTTTATACACATTCACATACATAAACTCTAATAATAAAGGACATTACATCAATAGTTTGGCTACTCCTTGTCCTGTTCTTTCCCTTGTCCTCACTTCATCTCAAAACCTGTAAAACATGAATTCATACTGTGAGACAATGTCTTAATAACCAAAATAATTCATAACTATCTATTAACAGGAATAAGTATAAACAAGTAAACAAAATACTATTGTATTATTATTCTTATTTTCACAAATAATACATGCATGCATGCATGCATATTTACATCCATTATTGTGAAACCATTTTTACACACTCGCATGATCATCTATCTACCAAACCTCCATGTTTCTCAACTGAATCCATAAGCTCTACTAACCAATCCTGTGCACATTGATTCAAGCACACCTTCAGTAATAGAATCACTCAACCAAGGCATTCTATCCCACTTTCAAACTATAAATTTTCCTCTATCGCATATACGATTGGGGTGTTGTTGACTCCTAACCATACCTTTACAAGCACTAGGGAGTTATTGACTGCCCTTAGATTGTTCATGGTAATAGTCCCTAAATAATTGCTACATTGTGGCCCCCCTAGTGCCAACCCAATTATATAGATTTTTCACACTCCAACACACATCGGCGAACTCTCACTATTATGATCATACCATTTTTCACACACAAATCACATGTTTCAATCATATATCCACACACATAGAGAGTAATTTACTTTCACAAATAACTTAATTTATAAATCAAACTCTTTTTCGACACCAAATCATGCAAATTTATAAATCATCCTCATTAACAATCACACACACAACCCCACCATACTATAACATTTACTTATTCAGAGTTAAACTAGTTAATTAATAGAATAAATGGTTACCTCAACTCTTTTTTACCAAAAGGGTTATCCGTGATGTAACATTTGCTCCAATAGTCTTGATGACTAGTGGAAGCACTAAATTATGTAAATCTACAATTTGAAGCACCATATGTTAGTTTCTCATACCTAACATAAGCACCCGTTAGTCAAATTAACTAAATTTAGCTATCTATAATCCGTAACTTTTATCATTAAGCTATTAATAGCTCGAACTAACCCTCAATAACTCCGTTGAGCATTTTAAGAGCTGTCCTATGCTCCAACATACAACTCTAACAATACCAAATTCACCTAGGGTTCATCTAAACCTAAGGTTTTACCACTCAAGCTTCAAATTAAAACTTATTCAACTCAAAGAAGTATAAGTTAAGCTCAAACATCACATACAAATTTCAAGAGTTCAGGCCAATTCAAAATTCAAAATCTCCAAATCATCCAACCCTTAAATGAATTAGAGAAGGAGGAGAGACAGTTAGCAATCTTACTCAAATTATTAAGGACCTAATTGAACTTCCAATCTTGCCCAAATTGAAGCCATAGCTTAGCTCCCCATGTTCCCCATTCGTGCTCCCATTTTCTCAAATGTTAAATTCTAATTTTTGGATGATTTTTGCATGTTTATAGTGTTTGGCATGTCATGCACTATAACATGTGGCACACATGTCACAGCACATGATGCAATAAGCAAAATCTCACTTTTGCTCCCCTACTCTAACTTGATTCGATCCAACTTCTACCCTAACTTGATCTTAAGGCTCTTTATGATCCAAAATGTCAATTAGTAACTTGAAAATATGATTAAATTAATTAATCACCAAATTTACTAGTTGCCCTTTAATTAGCAATTAACTTCTAGATTTAAAGCAAAAGATGTTACAAGCCAACTCTTTTTAATCAAATTTCCAAGTGGTGGGCCTACTTGAGGAGTTGGCTCATTCTTTGTGAAGGGTTTTATGTGTGGATCTTGCTCTCCAAATGGTTCCAAAGACATAGAGTTTGTCTTTGGTTCATCATGTCTAGAGAGTTGGGTACTCTTAAGGAGTTGCCCCTTGAGTTCTTCATTTATAACTGGATCCAAAGGCTTAGAGATGACCTCTGGATTCTTTGCTTGTACCTTGTTCTAAAGGCTCAAAGTTGGCCGTTGGTTTGTTATCTTTGTAAAGATAATCTTTAAAGCTATTAAAAGAGTACCCCTTGAGTTCTTCAGATAGGACTAGTTCTAAAGACCTAGAGTTGCCCTCAAGCTCTTTGCCCTTATAGATCTCATCCTCAGAGCTATTAGAAAAGTGCTTAGATATGCTCAGATCTAAAGGTTAGGACTCAGCCTCAACCTCCTCACAAAGCTCATCCGTAGAGTTGTCAAAAGAGTACTCCTCAAGCTCTTTGAATACATTCTTGATGGACTTGAGGTACTTATCTAAAGACGTGTTGCACTGCTTTAAAGGCTCTAGTAACTTTGCTTGATGCTTTATGTTGCATTGTGAGATTCCTAATACTTATTCAAGGTTCTAATGTATAGTTGGGAAGATATCCTACACCTTAAAGCTCTTCTCACCATACTTATTTTTGGATTATAATGCAGTTGACTCATATATTGCACTTGCAATATCACTTTCCAGACCATGAGATTTGGTTTAATTTTCATCATTAATTTTTCAATTCAAAAGTGTGGTTCCATGACAGTTTCATAAAGACATAGTTTGATTTTGGTTTAGATCCATGATTCTTCTGGAGTGCAGATTGCCAGAGCACATTCTTTCAGTATTCTGATTCCCAAATCAATGGCTCTTAAGTAGCCCAAGTCATTGATTCTAAGGCTATGCTAATACATGGCTTTGTTGGAGTGTCGATCTTTGGAGCATGCTTCTTTGGGTATTATGGTTCCTAAATCACCTCTGAGTATTTTGATTCCTAGATTAATGGCTCTTTAGGAGCCCTATTCATTGATTCTAAGGGTGCCTTGATTCATGGTATTTTGGTTC